GTGGGAATTCCGGATGTCCCAGACCCTCACCGAGTTGTCCATGGACGAGGAGGCGACCAGGCTGCTGTCGGGGCTGAACGACAGGCCGGTGACGCTGTCCGTGTGCCCGCGCAGGTCTTTGAAGAGAGTCCCCGACGCCAGGTCCCACAGCTTCACCCGCTGGTCCTCGCCGGCCGACGCCAGGTATTTGCCGTTGGGGGAAAAGGCCAGAGCCAGGACGGGGCCGCGGTGGCCGGTGAAGAGGCGCACGCTCGCCCCCTGCTGCGTGCTCCACAGGCGAACCGTTTTGTCCGTCGAGCCCGTCCCGATGTAGTTGGAGTTGGGGTGGAACTTGACGCAGTCGACGTCGGCCAGGTGTCCGGCGTAGATCCGCAGGGGGTGAGCGCGCGAGAAGGTCCAGAGCCGCGCGGTGCGGTCGTGCGAGGCGCTGGCGAAGTAGAGGCTGGACGGGCTGATGTCCAGGTCCCAGACGGGGTACGTGTGGCCGCGGTAAAGCGCCGCGTTGGTGAAGCTGGACAGGTCCCAGTACCGGAGCGTCGCGTCCTCCGAGCACGACAGGAGCCCCGAGCTGTCGGACAGGAAGCACGTGCGGTACACGGGACCGCTGTGAGCGCGCAGCGTCTGGATCTCACTGCCGCTCACCTCCTCCTCCTCAAACTGACAGAGAAGAGAGAGAGAAGAAGAGAGAGAGAAGAGAAGAGAGAGAGAGAGAGGAGAGAGAAGAGAGAGAGAGAGAGAGAGAGAGAGAGAGAGAGAGAGAGAGAGAGAGAGAGAGAAGAGAGAGAGAGAGAGAGAGAGAGAGAGAGAGAGAGAGAGAGAGAGAGAGAGAGAGAGAGAGAGAGAGAGAGAGAGAGAGAGAGAGAGAGAGAGAGAGAGAGAGAGAGAGAGAGAGAAGAGAGAGAGAGAGAGAGAGAGAGAGAGAGAGAGAGAGAGAGAGAGAGAGAGAGAGAGAGAGAGAAGAGAGAGAGAGAGAGAGAGAGAGAGAGAGAGAGAGAGAGAGAGAAGAGAGAGAGAGAGAGAGAGAGAGAGAGAGAGAGAGAGAGAGTAGAGAGAGAGAGAGAGAGAGAGAGAAGAGAGAGAGAGAGAGAGAGAGAGAGAGAGAGAAGTGAGAGAATGAGGTGAGAGAGAGGAGAGAAAGAGAGAAAGAGGAGAGAGGGAGAGAGAAATTAACACAACAAGGACTAAACCAGGACTAAACCAGAACTAAACCAGGACTAAACCAGGACTAAACCAGGACTAAACCAGGACTAAACCAGGACTAAACCAGGACTAAATTGGAACTGAACCAGGACTAAACCAGAACTGAATCAGAACTAAACCAGGACTAAACCAGGACTAAACTGATCCCAAACGTCCACAGCGCCCCCACCTGTTCCTCGAGCACGTCGCAGGCCAGTCTGATGCGCGACACGTCCACCTGGTGCGGTTTGGCTTTGAGTTTCCGCGCTCGGAGGCTCCAGAGCTTCACGGCGGAGCTGTCGAACCCCGCCGCCAGCAGCCGACTGTCGGGGGAGACCTCGGCGGCGTTCAGCAGCGCCTCCGTGTGGTGGAAGGAGTAGAAGCACACGGTGGTGAGGGACGGCGGGCCTTCTCGGACCTTCTTGATGACGTCCTGGAGCGCGTCTAGAGCGGCCTCGTTCTGGGGGATCTCCGCGGGGACCTCCACGCCCTCCGCGCCCCCCTCTGCCCCGTCCACCCCCGCCCAGGACGAGAGCGCGTTGGGGGCGGAGGCGGCGGCGCCCGGAGCCCCGTACAGCTGCGGGAGAAACACACGAGCGACGGAAATGTGAGCACGTGAAGGCACAAAGTTTATTTGTACAACACAACTCGTACATAAAGTCATTCAAAGTGCTTCACAGAATAAGAAATACATTCAAATCACAACACAAACAAAACAAAAAACTATAATCATCATAAAATGAACAAAGAGAGAGATAAACAGAACTGTTTTGAGTCTCACATAGAGATGTAACAATAACTGAAATATCGTGATATCGTATCGTCAGAGTTCTCACAATAACATCGTGGACCATCACAATCCCTGTGTCATTCGTTCATTCGTTTTTCAATATAAAACCAAAAATAAGAAAACGAAAAAACAACTGCTTCCTTCGTTATTTGTCTCCAAAACCAAAATGAAAAAACAGATAATGATTCGTTTTTTCAGTTTTCGATTTTGTGTTTAAATGAAGAATGGAAAAAACGGCCGTTTCCTGTTTATGTGATTTCCGTGACTGTGATGCCGAAACTTTGCACCGCGTACGGACTGAACCAGGACTGAACCAGGACTGATCCAGGACTGAACCAGGACTGATCCAGGACTAATCCAGGTCTGGGACCAGAGCAGGACCAGGGTGGGACCAGGGTGGACTCCGAGCTTTGACTCTGAGCCTCAGCTTCGAGCTCCGGCCCTGTCGTGGGCTCTGAGCCTCTGGTCTGGTCCCGGTCTGGTCCCAGGTCTGGTCCTGGTCTTGTCTCGGTCTCAGGCCGCTCTGGTCCGGTCTGGTCCCAGTCTCAGTAGCGCTCTGGTCCCGCTCTGGTCCAGGTGTGGTCCCAGACCTGGTTCAGTTGGACCAAAAGCTCTTAGTTCGGTTCGTTTTCGTTGGTGTGAAAGCGTCAGTCGGATGCTTTGCTCCACCTCGGAACCAGCCGTGGTTCTTGAGTGTGGAGGACCGGAGCAGCCTGTCCGGACCTGTAGTCCGCAGAACATTCTCACTTTCCCCGCACGGAACCAGCGCACAGACGATGACACGGAACCGCTCGGACCGTCGGTCTCGGTCTCAGTCCCGGTCTGGTCCCGGTCTCAGTCCCGGTCTCAGTCCCGGTCTCAGTCCCGGTCTCAGTCCCGGTCTCAGTCCCGTCTCAGTCCGGTAGTCGCGGTGCATCACAGTCACTGAAGTCACGTAAACGGGAAACGGTCGTTATCCGTTTTTTCCATTTTTCATTTAAACACAAAATCGAAAAACTGAAAAAACGAATCGTTATCCGTTTTTTTCATTTTGGTTTTGGAGACAAATAATGAAGAAAACTGTTGTTATTTCGTTTTCTTATTTTTGGTTTTATATTGAAAAATGAATGAACGAATGATACACGGATTCATCACAATAAATCGAATCACAAGTCTCTTTGTTTAAATGAAGAGTTCTGGTGCAGCAACAGCTAAAAAGAAAGAGGGAACTACATAGACCATGATCCTTTGCTCTATTTCAGCGCAGACAACAAGAAGAAATAACAGTTTTAACACTTTTAACTCTTAGTTCTTTGGATTAAGTCTTATTGAGGCATTTTAAGAGGAAAAAGAAGCACATTCAGAGTTTTGTTAGCTCTACTAAATATCGCAATAAATAATCGTACCGTGAGATGTGTATAGTGAAAATATCGTACTGAGAGATTTGGATATTGTTAATGTTCATTAATGCAAAAATCCATCTTTATTTTGTGATTTATGAATAATGTCTCTGGACTTGGGTCATGAAGGTTTGTGACTTTTAAAATATGGATCCCCAGAAAAAAAAGTTTGAGAAACACTGATCCAGTTGATTCTCGTGAAGGTGTGTGGAGTTCAAAAACACAGTGGAGAGCTTCCTGTGTTACTACATGACATCACAAGGTGGAACAGAGTGTTTGAGAGAAGAAGAACTCATCGTAAACTGGTAGAAGTGTCTTTCTGTCTGACCTGGTAGTCTGTGCGCGGGGCCGTGGTCACCTCGAGCTGCAGCTGCGCGCTCAGTGCTCTGCAGAGGGCGCTGTTGTCCTCGCTCTGCAGGTATCGCAGCAGGTATCCGTACGCCGCCTCGCTCAGACGAACCACAAACTTATTCTCCAGAAAAGCCGAGAGTTTGGAGCTGGAGCTGATGTCCTGCAGGAGGGAAATATGACACTTTGATTTAGATATTTTTATATATGAAAATAATAAGAAAAGCTTTGCAAATGTATAGAGGCTTTGCACAGTCACGTGACCCTATAGTAACAGTACCTACGCCGCCATGACACCGGACACACTATGTCACTGACTTCAGCAGCGTCGGAGAAACATGGGCAGGTTTTGTTGTGTATTTGGTTGTTCTAGACGCTCTGAACGGGATAAAACAAATCGTTTCTTCACTGTTCCTCTGGAAATGACTCATCAGGATCAAACAAGGGAATTATCGGGAAAAAACGGGAATTATGTCTAGAGAACATAAACCACGAAGAGATTTCCTATTGTACCATCAACACACACGTCACTTTCATCAAGGTGTTTGTTATTTAAATAGTTTCATAGTTTATTTAATGAGAGAAGCACATTTACTGAACTAAAATGTAAAAAGAAAACATTTGCAGTAGAAACTGTATGTTCCAGCACATATAAACATGTCACTCGTCGTAGGACCATGTTTTCTTTATTGTCTTGTTTATCCACAACTTTGTCTTCTAGAATTAATCGTTTTTTGTGAGTGGATCTTTGTAACGTTCGTGAGGATCTTTTCATGGTCGATTCTTTCGAGGTTCGTCTCACAGACTCTTCGACTCGTGCGTCGTGTTGATCACAGGAGCCAGTGTGGGTTCTTGAATCGTAAACTAGTGCAGGTTTTCCTGGATAAATTAATGACATTTTAGTTCAGTAAATGTGCTTGAAACAATGATGAAACTTCGTGTTTTGATGGGACCATTGGAAATCTCTTCGTGGTTTATTTTTGCTGCTTTAATCCAAGTCTTTTTCCTGATAATTCCCTTGTTTGATCCTGATGAGTCATTTCCAGAGGAACAGTGAAGAAACAAATCGTTTTATCCCTTTCAGAGCGTCTAGAACATGTGTCAAACATACGGCCCGGGGGCCGGATCCGGCCCTCCAAGACCTTTAATCTGGCCCTCGGCTGATTTTCTACTCAAATATTTTAATTATATTTTCTATTAAAATATTTGTAATTTTCTGCGGTGTTTATCACAGCAGCGTCTCCAGCGTCTCTGTACGTGGCCCCTCCCACCAGAGCAGCACAAATGAAGACTTGTCTCTTTCCAAACGCTCTTAAAGGACGATCGTTTTGACTGTTGACCGTGACACCCTCATCAGAAAAATGTCCAACATGAGAAAAGTGGAGCCGAGTGCAGGATTTTACAACAAAAATTTACTTATTCCTATTTACAGACAAGTTCATGTTAAAACTTTGTGTTGAAATTGCATTTTTCTTAAAGTTTCAGATTGTTCATAATATTTTGTAAAAGAAAGAGTTCATCAGTTTAAAAAGATTTCTGTAATAGATTTGTGTTTCTCTGGCCAAATATTTGAACTTATTGCTATTTTTGGGGTTTATATGCCTTTTTTTTTTTCCGGCCCCTTTGGGATCAAAGTAGATTGGATACGGCCCCCAGACCAAAATGGGTTTGACTCTCCTGATCTAGAACAACTAAATACACAACAAAACCTGCCCATGTTTCTCTGATGCTGCTGAAGTCAATGACAGTGTGTCCGGTGTCATGGCGGCGTAGGTACTGTTGTTATAGGGACACGTGAGGGTGCAAAGCCTCTATAGATACTTTCCAGCTGATCATCAACATTCTGTGATGGTGAAGCTAACTGGAGGCACTGCTCTGTCTGAAGCTCTGTTACTGTAAAATCTGGACATTTATTTAAAGGAAGAAACAAGCCCACTGATCTTAAACTGCTTTAGTGTCCATCTCCAAATGTGTTTCTAACAGTATTTACTTCAGCTGTTCCCATCTGTTTTAAACATATCGGGCAATTTCTGATTTTCAATTTGTCGAACGCGACGACGTTATTCTCCCAGACGGATTCAAGACACTCGCCGTCCTGCAGAACATCGCGACGTGAAGCGCGGGAGTTCGTACCTGCGGCGAGAGGACGTGTCGGAGCTGCTCCACGACGGGCCTCTGCTCGGGCTCCTGGAGGAACAGCGAGTGGAAGCGGCCGTAGAAACTGTCCACCGCGGACTTCAGCCCGGAGCGAACCATGTCCAGATGCAGGTAAACGAAGAGCGGGAAGAGGACCAGGCTCACCTCCCGCGCCCACGGGAGATCTGTGTCTGAGGACCGACGCGACACACAAAAAGAAACACATGTCCAGTTATAATGAGGACATGACAAACTAGAATAAAGTTCAGATTTTTTGTGCTTAGTGCTGCACTTTACTTTTTGAAAAGTTTTGTTTACTGTTTACAAGGAATTTTTTTTTATTTTTTTATTATATTTCAAACATTTGTTGCTTATTTGAGAATATTTTATTTAAATTATTACTTTCACCAAGCAGCGGTTTACATTTACGTTATTTTCCGTTTGTAAAATGTTAAAACAAATTGTTGGTTTAATAAAAACACAAATAAACAAAGTGAGAATGGTTTTGCATTTTGTTCCCAAACTGACCCGAAAATGAACCAAACTATGACCTTGAAAAAAAGGAACTGAGACAAACACACGAACCGTGATTTTTGAACCGTTACAGCATTAATATTATAGTTTTTGAACATTCTAAATTCTGTCAGTGCATTTATTGTCGTCTGTTTTAAGCAAAAGGCGCAGACGTTCAGAAATAATCAGGACAGAATCATGAGAATTTAACAGAACATTGGAGCGGAGGGAAAGACAGACTAACATTTTCCAGGATTTCCATGACCGTGGGAACCCTGACTGTTTTCTTTGGTTAATGCAGCTCTGTGCTCAAAAGGCTTTCCAGGACTAAACCAGGACTGAACCAGGACTGAACCAGGTCTAAACCAGGACTGAAACAGGACTAAAACCAGGACTAAACCAGGACTGAACCAGGACTGAACCAGGACTGAACCAGGACTGAACCAGGTCTAAACCAGGACTAAAACAAGACTAAAATCAAGACTAAACCAGGTCTAAACCAGGACTGAACCAGGACTGAACCAGGACTGAACAGGTCTAAACCAGGTCTAAACCAGGTCCAAACCAGGTCTAAACCAGGTCTAAACCAGGACTAAACCAGGACTGAAAAGGACTGAACCAGGTCTAACCAGGTCTAAACCAGGACTAAACCAGGACTAAACCAGGACTAAACCAGGACTAAACCAGACTGAAACCAGGTCTAAACCAGGACTAAACCAGGACTAAACCAGACTGTAAAACCAGGTCTAAACCAGGACTAAACCAGGACTAAACCAGGACTAAAACCAGGACTAAACCAGGTCTAAACCAGGTCTAAACCAGGTCTAAACCAGGTCTAAACCAGGTCTAAACCAGACTAAACCAGGACTGAACCAGGTCTAAACCAGGTCTAAACCAGGCTAAACCAGGACTAAACCAGATCTAAACCAGGTCTAAACCAGGTCCAAACCAGGTCTAAACCAGGTCTAAACCAGGTCTAAACCAGGACTGAAACAGGACTGAACCAGGTCTAAACCAGGTCTAAACCAGGACTAAACCAGGACTAAACCAGGACTAAACCAGATGTAAACCAGGTCTAAACCAGGACTAAACCAGGACTAAACCAGGACTAAACCAGGACTAAACCAGATGTAAACCAGGTCTAAACCAGGACTAAACCAGGACTAAACCAGGACTAAACCAGGACTAAACCAGATGTAAACCAGGTCTAAACCAGGACTAAACCAGGACTAAACCAGGACTAAACCAGGACTAAACCAGGACTAAACCCTGACTCTTGTGTTTTTCAGACATGCGACTGAAAATGTGAAACCCAAAGCTCGTAAATTCTTGTAATGTAATAAAAACAGAATCATGATCTCGTCCCTGTGTCGATCTGCTGTTTGGGTAAAATCATTTCACTGTTTTCTTTGTTTTCTTTTCTTTGGTTCTGTGCTTAAAAACAAAACAAAAAAAACCACTGTGCTCCACCCGCTCCTCCTCCTGATCAGCCTCCGCCAGGAAAATCAAGAAAACACGAATCGTGGCCTTTGTCCCGCCCCCGGTTTGTGTTTGAGATCGAGACTTTTACCTGAGAGAAAAGAGTGAAGTCTGGAGAACTGAGCCTCGTACTGCTGAGGGTCGGACTGACACGGAGCCGCTGAAACCACGTTCGCACAGCCCGACTCTGTCTGCACTGAAGACACGAAGACACGAAGACACGAAGACACGAAGAGGAAGAGGAAGAGGGAGAGCATCAGCACAAGAGGGAAAAGAAACATTTATTTAACATTCATACAGTTCTGTCAAACAGACAAAAGGGTTTATTTGGAGTGAAGACGATGGAGTAAGAAGCTTTTAGAAATCGAGATGCCGGACTTTTGCAACGGACTAAACCAGGACTAAAACAGGACTAAAGCAGGACTAAAACAGGACTAAAGCAGGACTAAAACAGGACTAAAGCAGGACTGAACCAGGACTAAAGCAGGACTAAAGCAGGACTAAAGCAGGACTGAACCATGAACCAGGACTAAATCAGGACTGAACCAGGACTGAAACAGGACTGAACCAGGAATAAAACAGGACTGAACCAGGACTGGTACCAGGACTAAATCAGGACTAAACCAGGAGCGAACCAGGACTGAACCAGGACTAAATCAGGACTAAATCAGGACTGAACCAGGACTGAACCAGGACTGAACCATGAACCAGGACTAAACCAGGACTAAAACAGGACTGAACCAGGACTGAACCAGGACTAAAACAGGACTAAAACAGGACTGAACCAGGACTGAACCAGGACTGAACCATGAGCCAGGACTAAATCAGGACTAAAACAGGACTAAAACAGGACTAAAACAGGACTGAACCAGGACTGAACCAGGACTAAAACAGGACTGAGTGTCGGGACGAGCTCGGAGGTGAGCCAATGTAGATTAGTCTCTGATCAGTCCTGGTTTAGTCCTGTTTTAGTCCCTGCTGTGTGGTCCAAAAGTCCCACATCTCGTTCGATGTTTCTTCTGCTCTATAAAAACATTTACTCATGATATTGTTTATTACGTGTCTTTAATGTGGATTTCAAAGTCCCTGGGTTCGGGGGTTTGATGGTAAAATATTTTTTTGTGTGTGTGTGTTTTTTGTGTGTTTCCGTAGTTACCCGTGATGCTGGCTGCCATCTCCTCCGGCGTCTGGCAGAGTTTGGCTGTTTTCAGTGAGCTGTCGGTGTCCACATACTGCCTCCTCTTCAAGTACTGAGCCACAGCGTACTGAATCTGCTCCGTACGCACGCGCTTCATCACCTCCACAAAACACAAAACAAAACAACACACAATATTTTAAACAATGCATTTTTACAGAGCCTTTTCTAGTTGGTAAAAATATTTGGCAAACTAGAAAAGCAGTCAGAGAGCGCAGACCTCCGCCAAGGACTACAGTCCCCCTCATATTAATTGTGTTTTCCATAAATATTTGTCTCGTATCTTTCAATTTGGAATATGAAAGAGGATCCCATTGTCCATCCCTGAGTCAAATTTCATGGGGTTTGGTCAATAATTAACCGAGATATTGAGAAACAAAATTTTTGGCCCCATTTACCACAATGTTAACTAAAATTTCAAAGTGATCCAGAATCCAGGATTTCTTCTGGATCATCCCCAAAATGAAATCAGTTCTTCCTTTTCACATTTCCAACAAATCCTGAAAATTTCATCAAACTCGGTCCATAACTTTTTGAGTTATGTTGCTAACAGACAAACAAACAAACAAACAAACAAACGCCGGCAAAAACATAACCTCCTTGGCGGAGGTAAAAATCAGACTGTAATTATGTGTTTACAGATTATAACAGATTACAACTGAACCTTGAACTTGATACTCAATACCAATTTCAATAACACAATCATAATTAAAAAAACACACACACACACTCACGGAGAATACTCTAGTAACACGGCATGAAGTTATTCGAAAATATAATTTGTTGAAAGCAGCTGGAATCCTGATCTGGCCCTTTTCCTCTACAGTTTTTTTTTTTTTTTTTTTTGAGTACAGACTTTTTTGAGTACAGACCCAATCTTTTTATTTTGGAAAGAAAAAGGATTAACAGCTTTGTGCACGTTCGTGAAGGGAAACACTTTCAAATCATTTGAAAATCAGAAAGCAGAATTCAATTTAGATAACACAGATTTGTTTAGATATCTACAGGTAAGTCATTTTTACAACACAGATATAAACCAAGATGATAACAGTAGTATTCGTTTTCTAAAGATGCTTATAAAGTTCTGCCCAGTACATCTGTCACTAAACTTTATAAAGAGCTGCAAAAACAAAAGAGTAACAAAAGATTTTATGTTAAATCTAAATAGGATTATCAGAGGGTGATTGGCTCTAAAAGGTGGAGGATATTTGGGCGGAAGTGTTTTATACGATTCTTTATTACTCCTCAAATTACTGCCAAAGTTCAAGGGTTGGACTGTTGTTTGTTGGAGACAGTGTGGCCATTATAACACCAATCACACTCACATTTTTTGGACAATGTACAAAATTAAAATCATTCTGGGACAATGTGTTTGAAAAAACAGATACGATCTTGACTTATTTTGTCCCAAAGATATTTTTGTTAAACCTTCTGCCTGGAGAGGTGATCGAAAAAGCAGACAGAACCTTTTTAAAGATTCTGACATTGGCATAAAAAAACGTAATAACAAGAAGCTATTTAAAAAGGCCCCACCGTCAGTGAATCAGTGGCTCGACATTATAGAAGAAATATATTCACTGGAGCAACTGACTCTACGACTCAAAGGACATTTCTTCACTAAACTCTAGACAAAAGGGTTGAAATATAATCAAAAAGAGCGCCCCAATCTTTGCATTGGGTGTATTTGTTTGTTTTTTACTACACAAAACTTGAAAAACTGAATAAATAAAAAAACAAAAAAAACAAACACACACACTTTCTTTAAACAATAGAATATGATTTTCAATATTAAATGGTAGTAGTTTCTTTTCTATTCTCTTGTGGCATCATATTAATTTACAACAGCAACAACTGAACCAAACTGCAATAAAGGAGTAAAAAATAGTCAAGGTCCTACACAAGGCAATAAAAATAAAAATAGAGTAAGACGTCTATTATCTGTAAAAGGTAATTCTGCATAAAGAAGTAGCAAGTTGTGTGAAATGTCTTGCCAAAGTGTACAACAACAGTAAACAATGTGAGAAGGTGAGATGCAGAAAAGCAGATTCTCACATAAACATCTCTATCAACTGGCGTATTTGAAAAGATATTTTATTATGAGTTTTTTTGGGGTTTTTTTGTTCTTTTTTTTTACAGAAATTGTTCAAGTAGATGTGTAGACCCTGTCAAATCTTATGTCTTCAGAATGTTCAAAATTCTGGAGTGGAGGCAAAATGAAGTCAACATAAAATATTTACAATGATTTACTGAGGAGCAGACCTAAATACTAATCGTTTTATGACATATAACAAAAAATAATTTAGAATTTTCAAGGTACAAAGCTTATTTACTTTCCTTCTCTCTTAAGGGTGGAAAAAAAATAGTTTTCTAACCCTAAAATAATATTTGGCCACTAGTTCCCGCTCTTTTTCACCAACAAAATTTCTGAACTTTTCCATGACTTTTTCATGAGCTAAAGTGAATTTTCCATGACTTTACAGCACCTACATGTGTCGAACTGATCAGACTTTTAGAGCTAAATCTGAAATGTGAACTCTTTCCACTCACTTTATGGTTTGGGATTATAGTTTTTTAACATTCTTAATCCTGTCAGTGCATTTATTGTCGTCTCTTTTAAACAAAAGACACAGACGTTCGGAACACTGGAGCTGTGTGAAAGAGATACTAAAATTCCATGACTTTTCCAGGCATGGAAAAAATACATTTTCACTTTCTACATTTCCAGGATTTCCATGACTGTGAGAATCCTGATTTGGGCTTCACCAAAAGTATAATTTATGATGAAATGTGTAATATACATGTAGATGAAGTGAAAAACTGTTGTGGGCTCAACATTTCTGTAAGGATTTGTCCAATAAAACCTCAAAAGTGTAAATTTTGGTTTTGTAAAAATGCTTAGTGTCTATGATAATCTCTTGTCAAGTAAACAAATAATGCAAAACACAAATATAAGTGTTTTTAAACTGTGTCTTTGTGGTTTTCATTTTGCAAACTGTCCTTGATTTTTCATTATTTTGTGATATTCTGAAATTAATCCTAGTTTTCCCATTAAAATCACATTATTGTTCCACTTCATTTTTGCCTCCAGGTGCCTCCAATCCGTAATTTAGAATGTTTTTGTTTACAATTTTTCAAAAGGGTCTATTTAATTATTTACATTTTTAAAAAATTCTGTAGTTTTGAGCATCAGATCGATTTGTGCACAGCATTTTCGAAGGGAGGGAGCTATCTTGAGTCTCATGATTATAATTCCAACATAAACCGGACATTTTAGCACAAATCAAAAGTGTTGGGTAGTAACAGATTACATGTACTGCAGTTATGTAATCAGAGTACAAATTATGAGTAACTGTATTCAGTTACAGTTTCAATGAGAGGTAATTGGATTACAGTTACCGGAACTTTGTTGAAATAAATGGATTACATGGTGGTATTTTCACATTTTGGGCTAAACCAGGACTAAAACCAGAAATAAAACCAGAACTAAGACCAGGACTAAACCAGGACTTAACCATTACTAAATCAGGACTAAACCAGGACTTAACCATTACTAAATCAGGACTAAACCAGGACTTAACCATTACTAAACCAGGACTAAACCAGGACTAAACCAGGACTAAACCAGGACTTAACCAGGACAGAAACCAGGACTAAACCGGGACTGAAACCAGGACTAAAACCAGGACTAAATCAGGACTAAAACCAGGACTAAACCAGAACTTAACCAGGTGTAAACTAGGTCTAAAGCCAGGACTAAGACCAGGACTCAACCAGGACTAAACCAGAACTAAAACCAGGACTAAACCAGAACTAAACCAGGACTAAAACCAGGTCTAAACTAGGACTAAACTAATACAATATTACATTACATTACATTACGTTACAAACTACATTTTGGGGTATATAATCTGTAATCTGTAGGGGAATACATTTTAAAAGTCACCTCTCCAACACTGTGAATCACACACGTTTGTTTACAACTGTCAGGTGCATTTTGAGCTAAACAGCGGCTAACGGGCTCGTGCTCCGCGGCCCGGTGTAAACTTTCCGCGGGATGTTCAAGCTTTCACACTCCGACGCTCATTAATCACAACTTACTGCATTTCGCGTGTCTCGTCTTCACTCTCGAACGTGATTCACTGTGATAATTTTGTGTTTTCTCGGTTAAATCGGGCGGTTTTTGCGGGATAACGCGCGCGGCTCCAGTCCATCTATTCCCTGATGCTACATGCTAAAATGCTAAGGATCGATTGAGTTTCCCTGTTGTTGACACTTTTTTTTTTTTTGGGGGGGTTTTCTGCGAGCGATTATTATTCCTAAACCATTAAAACGCAAATAAAACATATTTTTTTAAAAAGTAAATTTAAATAAAATACGTGTAGATGTGTTTTAATGCGCTGGAAGTCGTTTGCTTATAGTTTTTTATTATTTTGTTAGTTTGATAAAATAATTCTGTCTCTTTCTGATGACGCTCTCATCGATTGAGTTTCCCTGTTGTTGCCACTTTTTTTGAGCCGCGGTGGATTTTTCTGCGAGCGATTATTATTCCTAAACCATTAAAACGCAAATAAAACATATTTTTTAAAAAGTAAATTTAAATAAAATGCGTGTATATGTTTTTTAATGCGCTGGCAGTCGTTTGCTTATTGTTTTTATTAATTTTATTAGTTTTATAAAATAATTCTGTGACGTTCTGATGACGCACTCACTGATGGACTGCACCGCGCGCTGTTCGGTCATTCACGTTTGAAACATCACATTGTTTTTTCTTTATATTTTAATAATTTATTCCCGCACGGAGGTTTTGAGCCTCGGGGAACATGTTCAGCCCGCGCACAGGTCCAGGCTCCGGCCGACGGCAGCCGAACAGACCGTCGGTCCGGAAGAGTGTCGGAGGAGCGGGGTCCGGCCTGCTGTTCTCCCCGCGCAGGACGCCTCTGTCCGGGGCCAGGTGAGAGCGCGCGGCCCGCTGGAGCTCCGGGGGTTCACTGTGATGCAACTCCAATTATAAACAGTGTTGGGAAGGTGACTTTTAAAATGTATTCCCCTACAGATTACAGATTACACACCCCAAAATGTAGTTTGTAACGTAATCCATTAAATTACTTAAAGTGAGTAACTTAATCTGAATACTTTGGATTACTTGATATTGTCATGCTTTTGAAAACTACATGAATGTAGCAACCACATTCTGAAAATTCTTGTTTGTTCTCTTCAAATTGGCCCTGGTTTAGTCCTGGTTTAGTCCTGGTTTAGTCCTGGTTTTAGCCCTGGTTTAGCCCAAAATATGAAAACAGGAAAATACCTCTGTGTAATCCATTTATTTCAACAAAGTAACTGTAATCCAAATACTACTCACTGAAACAGTAACTGTAAGTTAATACAGTTACTCATAATTTGTACTCTGATTACGTAACTCCGGTACATGTAATCTGTTACTCCACAACACTGGTGATTTGTGCTAAAATGTCCGGTTTGGAATTATAATCAGGAGACTCAAAAGATAGCTCCCTCCCTTCGAAAATGCTGTGCACAAATCGATGTGATGCTCGACATAACTCCAGTACATGTAATCTGTTACTCCCCAACACTGCTGATCTATGATATACATCACAAGTTAAGTGACTGTTGAATTCACAAATATGCAGTAAATCAACTCATAGTATGATTTTTTTTTAAATAATTATTGTGATTTATACCCTGGATGATTATGAAGACGTCACAAGTTGTTTGAAAAAAACTGTGATATGTATCTTAAGTTAAATGACTTGTCTTTGTCTTTGAATGTGTCGAATATCCAATATCAAACCAGTTTAACCGCGGTTACACTCTAAACAACAGAAAAGTACGTTTCTCGAAAAGGAGCGGGAAGCAGAAAAACTTATATTAACTCGCTTCTCTTCATGACAGAGTTTCAAAAATGATGTGGTTTCTTCTGTACATTGATCACAAACTTTACACGTATAGTAAAATAAATTTCACACTATGGTCGTACCAACTAATAATAATGATAAAGAAGGCACAGAAGTTTATCTTTTATAACTGTATCAAAATAAGCAAAATGAGAAAAATGTAAGAATATTTTGTTTATTTTTCACAGATCGACGCCGACTCGAGGTCAGAGCCACTCGGTCCCGGAGCCGGTGAGCTACGACGTCCAGACGTTCGGCTCCTCTCTCCCGGTCAAAGTCATGGAGGCTCTCACTACGACTGAACGTGAGCGGCTGATTTAACTTTTAAAGTGTGAGATATGAGACATTTTCAACAAAAATATGAGATATTTTCAACATGACAACACAAATCTTCAAAGTTCAACGCAAACATAGACTAACAATGATATAATTGAGGTAGGGTTGAGGTCTGGGTTACGTTAAAGTTCTTACGTCAGGTTCTGCTCATTTTACTAAAACACTTTAAGACCAATATTTTTAAGGTTTTTGTAAAAAAAAACATTTACACTAGGTCTTCCAATTTTGGCCTTTTTTTTAGGTTGAAAATGTTACTTTCTGGTTGGAAATCGTCACATCACACAAGGGAATTCCGTCACTGTTTACCTAGCACACAGAAATGATTATTTAACAAATAAAATAAAAAAGAAACACCTTTATTCTGTTGAAATAATGTTTAAAGTATCAGAAAAATTTGTTTTTTTTGTGTAAATTGTAACTTTTTGATAGACTTCTCTCAGTGTGATTCTCTCTAATTCTCGTAAATTTCAACTTTTTTTTCTGCCTTTCTTCACAAATTAAAACTAATTTATACACACACACAGGTTTTATCCCACCAGATTAAATCTAAATTAGAGAATAATAAAAAAAAAGTTGTCATATGCACTCCAGGGAATGAATGTAAACCAAATGAATGTTTCCAAAGATGATTAAAACCCAACATGAGCGTGTATCTATAAAATGTAAAAACTTCTGTGTCTTGTGTCGTCAGCTGAGGATCAGATCTCGGTGAAGGTGGATGAGAGCGGCTGGGCCTGGATGGTCTGTGGAGAGAAGCTCATCATCTGGAAAATCTGTCAGACGGCGGTGGCCAAGGTCAGACTCCTCCCACCTCCACCCTCTGCCACGACGGTCGACTTTCTCTAACAAAAATATGAAACCCTGTCTGCAAAGCACTTCCAAGTTCTAGTCCAAGATCAGTCCTGGTTTAGACCTGGTTTAGTTCTTGTTTAGACCTGGTTTAGTCCTGGTTTATACCTGGTTTAGACCTGGTTCGGTCCTGGTTCGGTCCTGGTTCGGTCCTGGTTTAGACCTGGTTTAGACCTGGTTCGGTCCTGGTTTAGTTCTGGTTTAGACCTGGTTTAGTCCTGGTTTAGACCTGGTTTAGTCCTGGTTCGGTCCTGGTTTGGACCTGGTTTAGTTCTTGTTTAGTCCTGGTTTAGTCCTGGTTTAGACCTGGTTTAGACCTGGTTCAGCTCTGGTTAAGTTCTGGTTTAGTCCTGGTTTAGTCCTGGTTTAGTCCTGGTTCAGCTCTGGTTTAGACCTGGTTCGGTTCTGGTTTAGTTCTGGTTTAGACCTGGTTTAGTCCTGGTTTAGTCCTGGTTCGGTCCTGGTTTAGACCTGGTTTAGTTCTTGTTTAGACCTGGTTTAGTCCTGGTTTAGACCTGGTTTAGACCTGGTTCAGCTCTGGTTAAGTTCTGGTTTAGTCCTGGTTTAGTCCTGATTCAGCTCTGGTTTAGTTCTTGTTTAGACCTGGTTCAGCTCTGGTTTAGTCCTGGTTTGGTCCTGGTTTAGTACTGGTTTAGTCCTGGTTTAGACCTGGTTTATATTTATAATTATTTGGACATGATTATTGGACATTGATTGACAGCTTTGTTAAACAGGGAAAGGGGCGTTACCTTCGACATCCTCGCTCCTGATTGGCTCTTTTGTTGCTGTGATTACAAATATGCAACTGACTACAAATTCGCTCCTATAACTGCAGTCTCGATGAGCTTCATTTGACTGGAGCTGAACGTCCGCTTCTGTACACAGTCTGTGGTTCGTCTGTGGTTCGTGTGTGGTTCGTCTGTGGTCGTCTGTGGTTCGTCTGTGGTTCGTCTGTGGTCGTCTGTGGTTCGTCTGTGGTCGTCTGTGGTCTGTCTGTGGTTCGTCTGTGGTCGTCTCTGTGGTCGTCTGTGGTTCGTCTGTGGTCGTCTGTGGTTCGTCTGTGGTCGTCTGTGGTTCGTCTGTGGTTTGTCGTGGTTCGTCGTCTGTGGTCGTCTGTGGTTCGTCTGTGGTTCGTCTGTGGTTCGTCTGTGGTTGTCTGTGGTCGTCTGTGGTCGTCTGTGGTTCGTCTGTGGTTCGTCTGTGGTTCGTCTCTGTGGTCCGTCTGTGGTCCGTCTGTGGTTTGTCTGTGGTCGTCTGTGGTCGTCTGTGGTTCGTCTGTGGTTCGTCTGTGGTTCGTCTCTGTGGTTCGTCTGTGGTCGTCTGTGGTCGTCGTCTGTGGTTCGTCTGGTTCGTCTGTGGTTCGCCTGTGGTTCTGTGGTTCTGTGGTTCGTCTGTGGTTCGCCTGTGGTCGTCTGTGGTCGTCTGTGGTTCGTCTGTGGTTCGTCTGTGGTTCATCTGTGGTTTATCTGTGGTCGTCTGTGGTTCGTCTGTGGTCCGTCTGTGGTTTGTCTGTGGTCGTCTGTGGTTCTGTGGTCTCGTCTGTGGTCGTCTGTGGTTCGTCTGTGGTCGTCTGTGGTTCGTCTGTGGTCGTCTGTGGTTCGTCTGTCTGTGGTTCGTCTGTGGTCGTCTGTGGTCGTCTGTGGTCGTCTGTGGTCGTCTGTGGTCGTCTGTGGTCGTCTGTGTCTGTCTGTGGTCGTCTGTGGTCGTCTGTGGTTGTCTGTGGTGTCTGTGGTCGTCTGTGGTTCGTCTGTGGTTCGTCTGTGGTCGTCTGTGGTCGTCTGTGGTTTGTCTGTGGTCGTCTGTGGTTCGTCTGTGGTTGTCTGTGGTTCGTCTGTGGTTCGTCTGTGGTCGTCTGTGGTCGTCTGTAACCTCGTCTCTCCGTTCTCCCGCAGCTGTCGGTGTGTAAGGAGCTGCAGTTGCCTCCCAGCGAATATTCCTTCAGCTCGGACCTGATCTCGGTCTCGTCCGCCTCCCCCCTGGACTCCGCCCCGGTCCAGTCCATCTGCGTCCTGGCGCTGTCCACGGAGGGATCGGCCCGGCTCTGGCCCAGCCTCGCTCACGAAGGGAACTACTCGGACTCGGAGCTGGACCTGGGGGACCTCACGCACTCTGTGGTCGCGGTCAGGGTACGTGTAAAGGTTTTATATTACGCAAAACTGACTCTGGTGAGCTTTAAGTCGTGTTCTAACTCTGTTCCCTCGTCAAAAACAGACCTGGAGTTGTGTTTTGTTTCATTCACACATGTTCATTCACACTCTTTATTATTAGTCTGTCTACATCTCCAAAGCTCAAAACGCTCTGTTCCACCTTGTGATGTCATCAGGCATGAAAATCTCTCACTTTTTGGCGAAATCTACCGTTTTGAAGCCAGAACAGGGGCCCGGTCAAGCAGAAGTAAACAACAAGGCCAAAAATTCAAGTTAATGCGTCTGATATAAAAATGTATTGAACAGATACATATGTACTCTAGTTTATGAAACTGTTGACCTTTTTTCTGTTCCATTTTTGGTTCTAAAGTTCCATATGTTTTAAACAGATCCATGAATGAAACATGGAACAAAAATTATTTCCCAAATTTCAAAGACCTGCAAATCATGTCAATAAATGGATGTATTTCATCATATCTTGTGTTATTCCATCTTTGAACTGTTGATGAAGGGACAGGATTTAAAAAAAAAAAAGTATTTAAAATGATAAAAATGTTCTTGGAAGGACTGACATATTTTATAGAAATAGTTTCTTTCATTTTGAAGTAATATTAAAGTATTTGGAAGAAAAAAACTGACAAATGATGTAAAATCCTGCAGCTTCTACTTGTTTGCACAATTTTCCCTCCGTTACTTTTCCCTCCGTTACCATGACCTTTCTTAATAAAAAATCTCATGAGTCAAAAAGTAAGAGGTTTTTCAACCTAATCTTGTACCATATGGTAGAAAACTATATGAAGCAAATATTCAAACCAGTTTGTTAAGGATATGTAAGTGAGAACCAAGAGTTATCACTGTTTGGATTTATTGACCAAAAAGTGCTGCATATTTCATTCCCTCCGTTACTGAACATGAGTTTTTAAATTTTTTGTCAACAACTTGAAAGATTCTCACAGGTTTAACTTGACCCTGTTGGAGTGTAACTCTTTCCTACATTCTGATACTTTACTTATTTCAATAGTTCCTCTAGTTTCTGAATAAGAGACATTTGAATGTCAAAAACCGGACCCACAGGTGACCTACGTGAATCATGTAGATTCAGTGAGAAAAGATCGACGCAGGTACTGACCTCACTGTGAAACAGAGTGACAGGCTCCTCAGGCCCAGTGAGAATGATCCTTGTGCTCTTCCTTTAGTGCGTTTGTCAAGGTGCGTGCCGGCACAGGAACACACTCCTTTAAGTATAAAGGTAAGTCTCTCTCGTTTGTTTAAACAACAAAATATTTTCTGGGACGTGCCTTTCATTTAGACGGTGACAGCGTTTTTGGGGCTTAAAAACGCCAAAATCTGAAACGCCAAAATCTGAAACGCCAAAATCTGAAATCCTCCCGAAAATGCTTGTCTAAACTCGGAATAAAAAGTGAAGACGCGACGCCACTTCTTCTGTTCAGACCGTCATCGTATAAACGTAGTCTTAAACTGAAAATCTGAGCTAAAATTATCCAAATGAATCTGTTGAAGGTGTATAGAGTTTAAAAAACACAATGGAGCTCGTCCTGTTTCTGTGTTTTCAGTTTGACAGAAGAACTCGTGCTAAATGTGCAGGATTTGTGTGTAAAACATGCGTGAATGAAACAAAACTCAACTCCAGGTCTGTTCGTGATGAGGAAACGACATTAGAACACGACATTACGGATCAGAAACTGTTGTATAATCTGGTTTCTTCTGGTCCGTTTTCTCTCAGGGCGGCGGTTTTGTGATGTCGTCGTGTAAGAGTCGTCTGTTCAGAGCCTCCGCGGACTCTTCGGGGAGGCTGCAGTGCCACGCTCTCCCCCAGGGACAGGGCATGCTCTCTGGGATCGGACGCAGGGTCTCCAGCCTCTTTGGGATCCTGTCTCAGCCCGCCAGCGACACAGTGAGTCCCGGTTTAGTCCTGGGTATAGTTCCTGTGTTTAGTCCTTGTTAATCCTGGTTTAGTCCTGGTTTAGTCCAGTTTTAGTCCTGGTTTAGTCTAATTTTAGTCCCGTTTTAGTCCTGTTTTAGTCCTGGTTTAGTTCTGGGTTAGTCCTGGGTATAGTTCCTGTTTTAGTCCTTGTTTAGTCCTGGTTAGTCCTGGTATAGTTTCCTGTGTTTAGTCCTGGTTTAGTTCTGGGTTAGTCCTGGGTATAGTTCCTGTGTTTAGTCCTGGTTTAGTCCTGTTTTTAGTCCTGGTTTAGTCTAATTTTAGTCCTGTTTTAGTCCCGTTTTTTAGTCCTGGTTTAGTTCTGGTTATAGTTCCTGTGTTTAGTCCTGGTTTAGTTCTGGGTATAGTTCCTGTGTTTAGTCCTGGTTTAGTCCTGGTTTAGTCCAGTTTTAGTCCTGGTTTAGTCTAATTTTAGTCCCGTTTTAGACCCGTTTTAGTCCTGGTTTAGTTCTGGGTATAGTTCCTGTGTTTAGTCCTGGTTTAGTCCTGGTTTAGTCCTGGTTTAGTCCTGGTTTAGTCCTGGTTTAGTTCTGTGTATAGTCCCTGGTTTAGTCCCTCATTTAGTCTCTGATTTAGTCCCGGGGTTTAGACCCTGGTTTAGTTTCTCGTTTCAGGCATGAAAATCTCTAAACTTTCAGCGAAATTCACCTTTTTGAAGCCAAAACAGGAGATTATGTGAAGGACAAGACGAAACGCGAAGCAAAAAATACTGTATTTTTCGGAGTATAAGTCGCTCCGGAGTATAAATCGCAGGACCACCCAAACCATGACAAAAGAGCTGGCACAGAACAGACCGACAGCGACATCTGGGCTGAAGTGTGCCTAATAAACTATCAGATAAACCTGTGTTTGTCACATGTGCGTTTGGTTTGGTAAATGTGCAGAGGATAAATCCCACTGTAAAACCAAAAAGAGAATGTAACTCCTGTTAGGAACTTGAAAAAAACAGGTTTAAAAATCCTACACCCTGTATTCACTTTCTTCACAGTTTTGGGTAAAGTGCCAGTGGAAGTTCACGTAAAAAAGTGGTTCTCAAACTGTGGGTGAGGGTCCAAAAAAGGGCTGCACAGTGTTTCAGTGCAGCACAATTTGCTTGGCCTAAATGAACATTAATCAGATCAAAAGGATTTATAAAAACATTGATATAAATGAGCCAAAATAACTGTAAAATACAAATAACTGTATGGGATATTTCAATAACCTTGGGATGTGTTTTTTTCTCTTAGGAGGTGGATCACCAAAAAACTCGATCCATCTGCTCCTGGTCCGGCCCTTCTGTCAAATTTTAGAACCCTTTGTGGCCCATGAATCAAAAAGTTTGCTCACTCCTGGCCTATACTGTAACATAGAACCAAATACCGTATTTTCCGGGCTATTAGTCGCGCTCTTAAGCCTCTAACCGCATCAAAAAACGACCGCGCACCGCAATCCAGAGCGCCCCATACACGAATCCACTCGGGCGTCCCGGCACGACTTCAGTAAACTACAAAGCTGCAAACACACACGGAGCAGACAGCGACCGCGCGGCGAATAAACACCCACAGACACACTCATCACTCCACGCCGACGAGGAACGGAACGAACCGAAAAAAGCGAGCGCGACGTGCCGCTTCTAGACACGACTGAACAACCGAGTCACTGCGAACACGCCGACGATCCGCTGGTCCCAGACACACCCTCCCTACACGCCACAACTGAACAAAGCCCAGAGTCACCGTGAACGAACAAACAAACAAAACCACTCACCCATCACACTGTTGGGTTTCATTTAAAGTCCCACGCGGTTTATTTGTGAAAAAAGTTCAAAAATAGACCATTTAATGACAGTGCGTCTTATAATCCAGAGCGACTAATAGTGCGGAAAATACTGTAATATTAATCAGATCAAAATGAGATAGATTTATAAAAACATTGACATAAATGTGCCAAAATAACTGTAAAATACAAATAAATGTAGAAAATGACAAAGATGGTTTCAATTTTGGTCTGGATTTGCGCCCGCCCCAAGAGGCCACGGCACCTTTTTCATGACTGTTGTTGAGTTCTTGGTTTAGTCCAGGTTAAAACGTGGTTGTTTTAGTGGTTTATTTCTGGTTTAGTCCAAAAATATTTAAATAATCTTAAAAATGTTTATTGTTTTTTTTTTCTTCCTCTACTCCCTCTCCCCTCCTCTACTGTCTCTCCTCCTCTTTCTCTCCTCTATCCTCCTCTCTCCATCTCTTTCTCCCTCTCTTCTCTCCTCCACCTCACCCCCTTTCTCCTTGCCTTTCTTTCCCCCCCCTCTCTCTTTCTCTCTCTTTCTCTCTCTTTCTCTCTCTCTCTCTGTGTGTCTTGTTCTCCCCCTCTTTACTTTTGCTGTCTCTCCTCTTTCTCTCCCTGTCCTCCTCTCTCCATCTCTTTCTCCCTCTCTTCTTTCCTCTACCTCACCCCCTTTCTCCTTGCCTTCCCCCCCCCCTCTCTCTCTCTCTGTGTCTTGTTCTCCCCCTCTTTACGTTTGCTGTCTCTTATCCTCTTTTTCTCCTCTTCCCCCCCCTCTCTCTCTCCTTCTCTCTCTCCTTCTCTCTCTCCTCTCTCCGTCTCTCTGCCTCTCTACTCTTGTTCTCTACTGTCTCTCCTCTCTTCTCTCCTCCCCCTCTCCCCCTCTCCGTCTCAGCTGTACAGCGTCCTGTGGTGTCCCTCGTCCTCGTGTCTCTTCTCTCTGTCCAGCTCCGGTTTAAATAAATGGGACCTGAGCGACTCGCAGGAGCATCACGTGTTCGTGTGGGAGCACCGGGTCCTGACGGAGCGGATCACCGACGCCATCTGGGTCAGTCCGCGCCCACGCTTTATACTTCAAACGTTTACAGGATTTTCAATTGTTTTTAAACCTGTATTTTTTGTTTTTAGGGCTCTGAGGCAAACTTCGAGGAGATGAAAGAAGGAGCCAACGTGACGTACCTCGACATGAAGCACGGACAGTGAGTTTAAAACGCAAATCTGTATCTGAATCGCTGTTTAAATGGGAGATATTCTTTACCTTCGACCATGGTATAATGTTCCCTCATCAAAAACACGCCTGGAGAGATTTTAGAGTCATTCATGCATGTCTCAGTAATCTAGTGATCTCTCCCGGGCCCTATTCAAACTCTCATTATGGTTCACTGTAGTGATGGGCATTCGATTCAATTTTCTTTATCGATCATCGGAAAAATTAACGATCGATTATCGATTAATCATGAACGTTTTTATATTAAAATGATCATCATTATTATTACTATCTGCACTAATCTGCATAAATAAATTCAACTTTACGACATATAAACATAACGACTCTAGATCCACATCAGCTGTTTGACATTATAATGTGTTTAATTCAGTTTTGTTCAAATCTCACAGAAACAAAACTTAAAACCACATCACTAATTTACATAAACTAAGTGAAGATAAAACTCCAGCTCTTGTGTCGCTGATGTGGTTCAACTTGTGTTGGATTAAAAGACATGACTCAGGTGAATACAGGTCAGTGTGACCAGATTTGTGTTTGTCAAAACCAGGACAGCGTACGGGGGGAGGGGGGCGGGGCCTCGTCATCCACATTGAGCGACTCTCACCTGGAAAAACTTTTTCCCACTGGACACAGAAACATATGTGCTGCTTTATCCACTGTGCACATGGACTCACACTTGTCCCAACGCAACGGAAAGTGTGGAATTTCTTTTACAAATCATGGTTAAATCCACATTTGTGCTTCGGTTCGTTACAGACTGACCCACTGTTTGTGTCTCGCTCCTTCTGATGCAGAGACACATGTACACACCTGTTTGGTCACGACACACAAACATACATTCGATTTGTCGATTAAAATTAACGTAATTGATGAAATTCTTAATGATCAATTATTGATTTGTCGACTAATCATGCTCATCCCTTTTTGCGACTTTGTAGTTTACTGAAGTCGTACTGGGTTGTCATTTTTTGATGCGGTTAGAGCAGGAGTGTCAAACTCATTTTGTTCCGGGGGTCGTGTCCAACCTACTTTGATCCAAAGTGTCCGGATCAGAAAACTCATGTCATATAAACCCCAAAAATAACAATAAGTTCAAATATTTGTGCAGAGAAACACAAATCTATTACACAAATCTTTTTAATTGATGAACTCTTTCTTTTACTAAATATATTATAATATTATGAACAACCTGAAACTTTAAGAAAAATTCAATTTCAACACAAAGTTTTAACATGAACTTGTCTGTAAACATGAATAAGTCCATTTTTGTTGTAAAATCCTGCACTTGGCTCCACTTTTCTCATGTTGGACATTTTTTCTGATGAGTGTGGGTGTCACGGTCAACAGTCAAAACGATCGTCCTTTAAGAGCGTTTGGAAAGAGACAAGTCTTCATTTGTGCTGCTCTGGTGGGAGGGGCCACGTACAGAGACGCTGGAGACGCTGCTGTGATAAACACCACAGATTTTAATACAACCAAGTACATTAAAGGTCTTGGGGGCCGATCATGTATATGTAGAGTGATATTCGTGTCCCTCTCCTCAGCTGTGGCCTGGTGCTGCTGGCGGCTGCGTGGCATCCGTCCGACACGCCCTGTCTGTTGTACTTCTGTCTGGTCACGCTCCTCGACTCTGGAGCCTCTGTGTCTGAGGAGGTCACGGTGGAGGTCACCAAGTTCACCACACCGTTCCAGGTCAGAGCACTCGGAATATTTAAGTGTTGTTATTTGTCACGGCGATTTTTCATCGATATTTAACCGTTCTCGTAATCTTGGGTGCCGTGTGGCGCAGAGTGAGGAGGCGCTTCAGTCTGTGAGTCTGGTCCTGCCTCCGGTCCCTGGGTCTGTGGCCTTCATCTTCACCCCTGAGCTGGTGTTCGCCTGCTCCACCGGGACGGGGAGAGCGGCTCTGCCCGACGAGAAGATCACATTCAACGCTCCAGGTGACGCTCGCTTTAGTACAGAGTCAGAGTCTGGGACAAAATGGAGAAGAACGGGACTAAACCGGGACTAAACCGGGACTAAACGGGACTAAAACGGGACTAAAACGGGACTAAAACGGGACTAAAATCGGGACTAAATCGGGACTAAATCGGGACTAAATCGGGACTAAAATGGGACTAAAATGGGACTAAATCATTTCTAACCTGGGACTAAAACTGGACTAAAACTGGACTAAAACTGGACTAAAACTGGACTAAAACTGGACTAAAACTGGACTAAAACTGGACTAAATCATTTCTAACCCGGGACTAAAACAAGACTAATCCAGGAATGAACCTGGACTGAACCTGGATTCTCTCAAGTCCAAGATTAGTCCTGGGAACAGTCCTGGTTCAGTCTTGGTTCAGTCTTGGTTCAGTCTTGGTTCAGTCTTGGTTAAGTCTTGGTTAGTCTTGGTTCAGTCTTGGTTCAGTCTTGGTTTAGTCCTGTTTCAGTCCTGGTTTAGTCCTGTTTCAGTTCTGTTTAGTCCTGTTTTAGTCCTGGTTTAGTCCTGTTTCAGTCCTGGTTTAGTCCTGTTTCAGTCCTGGTTTAGTCCTGTTTCAGTCCTGGTTTTAGTCCTGGTTTCAGTCCTGGTTTAGTCCTGTTTCAGTCCTGGTTTAGTCCTGTTTCAGTCCTGGTTTAGTCCTGGTTTAGTCCTGTTTCAGTCCTGGTTTAGTCCTGGTTCAGTCCTGGTTTAGTCCTGTTTCAGTCCTGGTTTAGTCCTGGTTTAGTCCTGTTTCAGTCCTGGTTTAGTCCTGTTTCAGTCCTGGTTTAGTCCTGGTTTAGTCCTGGTTTCAGTCCTGGTTCAGTTGGTTAGTCCTGGTTCAGTCTTGGTTTAGTCTTGGTTTAGTCCTGGTTCAGTCCTGGTTCAGTCCTGGTTTAGTCCTGTTTCAGTCCTGGTTCAGTCCCGGTTTAGTTCTGGTTTAGTCTGTTTCTGTTTAATCCTGTTTAGTCCTGTTTAGTCCTGTTTCAGTCCTGGTTTAGTCCTGGTTAGTCAGTCCTGGTTTAGTCCTGGTTCAGTCCTGTTCAGTCCTGGTTTAGTCCTGTTCAGTCTGTTTAGTCCTGGTTCAGTCCTGGTTCAGTCCTGGTTCAGTCCTGGTTCAGTCCTGGTTTAGTCCTGTTTCAGTCCTGGTTCAGTCCCGGTTTAGTTCTGGTTTAGTCCTGTTTCAGTCCTGGTTTAATCCTGTTTCAGTCCTGGTTTAGTCCTGTTTCAGTCCTGGTTTAGTCCTGGTTTAGTCCTGGTTTAGTCCTGGTTTAGTCCTGTTTCAGTCCTGGTTCAGTCCCGGTTTAGTCCTGGTTTAGTCATGTTTCCTGGTTTCAGTCCTGTTTCAGTCCTGTTTCAGTCCTGTTTCAGTCCTGGTTTAGTCCTGGTTTAGTCCTGTTCAGTCCTGGTTTAGTCCTGTTTCAGTCCTGGTTCAGTCCGGTTTAGTCTGGTTTAGTCCTGTTTCAGTCCTGGTTTATCCTGTTTCAGTCCTGGTTTAGTCCTGTTTCAGTCCCGGTTTAGTCCTGGTTTAGTCCTGGTTCAGTCCTGATTTAGTCCTGTTTCAGTCCTGGTTCAGTCCCGGTTTAGTCCTGGTTTAGTCATGTTTCAGTCCTGGTTAGTCCTGTTTCAGTCCTGTTCAGTCCTGTTTCAGTCCTGTTTAGTCCTGGTTTAGTCCTGGTTCAGTCCTGGTTTAGTCCTGTTTCAGTCCTGTTTCAGTCCTGGTTTCCTGTTTTAGTCCTGTTTCAGTCCTGGTTTAGTCCTGTTTAGTCCTGTTAGTTTAGTCTGGTTTAGTCCTGTTTCAGTCCTGGTTCAGTCCTGTTTAGTCCTGGTTCAGTCTTGGTTTAGTCTTGGTTCAGTCCTGGTTCAGTCCTGGTTCAGTCCTGGTTTAGTCCTGGTTTAGTCCTGTTTCAGTCCTGTTTCAGTCCTGATTTAGTCCTGGTTCAGTCCTGGTTTAGTCCTGGGATCAGTCCTCATTTAGTCTTGTTTTAGTCTTGTTTTAGTCTAGTTTTAGTCTTGGTTTAATCTTGGTTTAGTCCTGGTTCAGTCCGTATGCGGGGCAAAAGTCCTGCATCTCGATCGATGTTTCTTCTTCTGTTCTGTATTCACCGTTTAAAAGTCTTTAAAGTTATCGCTGAAGTCTTAACTCTCTCTCGTCTCCTCGTTTTTTTTCAGGTGACGGGGTTCGTGGAGGCGGCTGCTGTTCAAACCTGCCCGTGTTCTTCTCTCTGCACAGCGGGCTGGTGGCTCTGGTGGGGAGAGAGAGTGCATCTATCCTCCCCGAGACCATGGAGGACTCTCTGTGCTCCTCCCTCGCCGCTGCCCCCGAGGTGACGCTCTCCTCTCAGATTACAGTCCGTCAGAAAATACTGGAATTAACGCCGATGTTTGCTCAGTGAAGCCGATGAGTTGAGGTGGAACACAGAGGAGAGACTCGGCATCAAAAACAACAAAAGCGAAACTTAGAAAACATGTTAATACTTTGTTTTTGGCAAATACAGCATTTTCAGAACAATCATATGTACGGGTGTAAGAAAAAATCGATTCAGTGACATATCGTGATACTTCATTGCACAATTCTCGAATCGATTCAAAATGGATCTGAATCGATTTTTTAAATAATATTTTTCACAAAAATTCCTTAGTTACATTCTCTACGTTCTCATGATTTTAAAAAGTTTGTGAATTATATTTCAATTGTGTTCTCTTGAAGGTGTAGTTGACTGTATTATTAGAAGTAATTATTGATAAATCGCAGTATATCATCCAGTGATTTAGTATATCGGGATATATTGAATCGTGACATGTGAATCATGATATGTATCGCATCGTCAGACTCGAGGCAATGCACACCCCTAATCAAATGGTGTACATGGTGATGTAAATATGTTATATGTTAGCAGTTACCCCACAGAAATTTCTTTAACTTTAACTACTTTTTCAGGATGTTTTCTTCACTAATTTATGGGGGAAAAAAGTTCAGTTTTTCAGCTTGCATTTGTAAACTTTACCACATTTTTCCTCCTATTTGTGAACCTTGTCGGTATCAAGATTTGTAAATTGATGTGAAGTATTGGCCGATCTCTGCTCTGATTATAAACTTTCCCCCGTCCCTCCGTCCGTCAGGTTTCTGTGATGGAGACTCCGAGTCGATCTGAAACTGTGGCAGAAGAAGACAAAACCAAACTGCTCAAGGCTGCGTTTCTACAGTTCTGCCGGTAAAAACCTGAACCAGGACTGAATAAGGACTAAAGTGAGGACTGGACCGGAGACTGGACCGGAGGGACTGGACCAGAGACTGGACCAGGTCCTAAACCTGGACTGAACTTGGACTGGACCAGGACTAAACCAGGACTTGAATATTCCGTGTTGTTCCAGGAATGACCTGGTGGGTGCGCAGACGGTCACCGATGAGCTGTTCCCGGAGGAGGGGGCGGAGCCGGACGCCATGGTAACGAGGATCGACCTGGACCTGGTGGATGATTACCCGGCGTCCGACCCGCGCTGGGCCGAGTCGGTGCCGGACGGTGAGACACGACTCGACTCCAGGAAACCGTATATCAGACCTGCAAACTTCAGCTGCAATCACGTTTCAATTGGGTCATTCACGTGAATCACATAGAACCAGAGAGTTTTTTTGTTTTTTTTTAGAGTTTTTAAACTCCTTTGAGTTTAAATAGAATTAATTAATAATTCTGAATTGAGATTTACATGAAAAACACGTTAAATCGTCTTTATTTAATTCTGCTCGGCGTCTGGGGATGAGGAAGGTTCTGATTGGACAGAGACACCAACGTATTTACGTCTTTGGGAAGAAAACACAAACACTTCAGCTGCTCCCGGCTTTTCTGTCATCTCGGTTTGTCGTTAAACTTGGAGATACGCCCAAACAAACCGGGGAACAGCGTCCAAACCAGAGTCCTGATCCAGCGGGAGCAGCTCCGGTTCAGGTCGGGGAGCGGTGTTTGGGCCTCGGCCTGAGAAACGATTTCCCCAGGAAGAGCCAAATGTGCGAAGGACGGACACTCAGAACAACATGTAACCAACCAAACGGGTTTCTCTCTTCTGTCTGGATGTTTTGCACTGCATCGGTACCAGCCGCACAGAGCCCATGCTTAGGGCCTGGCTCCACTGCATGTGCGTGTTTCGCCCTATGTGAGCGTAAAAACTGTTTCTCTGAAGAGTTTGCGGGTCTGGTTTATGGAGGAGAGGAGTCAGAGGAGCAGAGGAGCAGAGGAGCAGAGGAGCAGAGGAGCAGAGGAGCAGAGGAGCAGAGGAGTAGGCCACTATAGAATAATCATCATAATAATAAGAGTGTATCTGTGTTTTGTTTCAGAGAGTGGAGGTTTTCCGCTCACGTCTCTGATCATTCTGCATCAGCTGGAGGACAAACTGAAGGCTCACGGCTGCTTCATGGACTTTCTGCTGCAGGTTCGTCTCAAACCCTTTTCTCTCTGTGTGTGTCTCTCTCTCTCCTTTTCTCTCTGTGTGTGTTTTTGTCTCTATCACCCTCTGCCTCACTCTTCTTCCTCTCTTCTCCCTCTCTCCACTGTGTGTGTGTGTGTGTGTGTGTGTCTCTCCCCTCCCTCTCTCTCTCTCTGTTTCTCTCTCCATTCATTCTCTTCTCTCCTTGCTCTCTCTCTCTTCTCTCTCCCTCTCCTCTCTCTCCACTCTCTGCTCCCTCTCTCCCTCCCTCCTCATCCTCCCTCTCTGTCTACTCACCTCACTCTCTTCACTCCCCTCACTCTCTCTCTCTCTCTGTTCTCTCTTCCCTCTCTCCCTCTGTGTGTGTGTGTGTGTGTCTCTCTTCTCCCTCTTTCCCTCTCCCCTCCCTCTCTCTCTCTCTGTTTCTCTCTCCATTCATTCTCTTCTCTCCTTGCTCTCTCTTCTCTCCCTCTCCTCTCTCTCCACTCTCTGCTCCCTCTCTCCCTCCCTCCTCATCCTCCCCTCTCTGTCTACTCACCTCACTCTCTTCACTCCCCTCACTCTCTCGCTCTGTTTCTCTCTTCTCCCTCTCTCCACTCTCTCTTTTCTCTCCTTGCTCTCTCTTCTCTCTCTCCCTCTCCTCTCTCCCCACTCTTTCCTCCCTCTCTCCCTCCCTCCCCATCCTCCCCCCTCTCTCTCTTTACTTTCCTCACTCTCTTCTCTCTGTTTCTCTCTTCTCCCTCTCTCCACTCTCTCTCTTTTCTCCTCACTCTCTCCTCTCTCCCCAGTTTCTGCACCCTCTCTCCTCCCTCTTTCCTCTCTCCTCTCTCCCCACTCTTTGCTCCCTCTCTCCTTCTCTCTTTCTCTCAGGTGGGTTTGCTTCCTCCCTCTTTCCTCTTTCCTCCCTCTCTCCTCCTCCCTCTCTCCCTCCCTCTTCATCCTCCCCTCTCGCTACTCACCTCACTCTCTTCTCTCCTCTCCCTCTCGCTCTCTCTCTCTCTCTCTCTCTGTTTCTCTCTTCTCCCTCTCTCCACTCTCTCTCTTTTCTCCTCACTCTCTCTTCTCTCTCTGTTTCTCTCTGCTCCCTCTCTCCCCTCTCTCCACCCTTTTTCCTCTCTCTCCTCCCTCTCTCCTCTTTCCTTTCTCCTCACTCTCTGCTTCCTCTCTCTCCTCCCTCCCTCTCTCCTCTTCTCCCCACTCTTTGCTCCCTCTCTCCTCCTCTCATCCTCTCTTTCTCTCTGGTGGGTTTGCTGGATCGCCTGGGTTCCGTCTCCGTGCGCTCACTCTCTTCTCTCTCTTCTTTCTCTCTCTTCTCTCTCTTTCTCTCAGGTGGGTTTGCTGGATCTCCTGGGCTCTCTCTCCGTGCGCTCACTCTCTCCTCCCTCTTTCTTTCTCTCTCTTTCTCTCAGGTGGGTTTGCTGGATCGCCTGGGCTCCGTGTCCGTCCGCTCGTCTCCGATGGCGACGCGTCTGCTGCTCTGCGAACACGCCGAGAAGCTCCAGGCCTCCATGGTGCTGAAGAACCACCACAGCCGACACCAGGAGCTCATGAGCCGCGCCGTCAACTCCGCCCTGAGCAAGAGGGGCACGCCGGTCCCCCCCAGCCTCACCGCCGCCGACGTCTTCTTCAGGGAGGTGAGGCAGCGCACACCGGCGAACACCAGGGGGCGTCGCGCGGTCACAGAATGAGCGTAGAGTCAAGTCACTTTTTATTGAAAATCTGACGCTCGTCTCTGTAACCGCTGCTGCCAGACTCCTCATTTGCCACGTTTACATGATGTTTTGAAATTCCGAATTAATTGTTCTGATTTAAACCAACCCCGGCCCTTTATTTATAGAGCGATTTTCATATAAAACTAATACGAACTATCTGGAAACCGACATATCTATCTTTTTTACAACTAACTGTCTGGAATCTGAGACACTAACGATCTGGAACCAGGACATCAAGAAAAAAAAAAAGAAACCCTCTGCCACATCAGCACATACAACAAAAACACAGAACAGACATAATCGACAAGACTACAGCAGCTGGGGAGAAGAGGGAACTGGAGTCCACCCCAAATTATCAACAGGCAGCCTCTAGATCCTGCAGCCAGGGGGCGCTGGATACAAAAGACCCGCCTGACGATTCTGGGTGGGGCAAAAGCTGCGAGGGCGTAGAGAAAGTTGGAGGAGGACAGCACCACTCCTGCTCCAATCTCTCCAGGACGAGTGTTAAGACCAGGCGACCCTGGCGGGCGCTGGCTGGGGGAGGCCAGTAGATCAGATTCATCATGTTTTGGTTTTGGGTCGAGCAGCTGCTCTTTTCTACTGTCTTTTATAGGTCTCCTGCGGTACAGCGGCTCAACAGTGCGGTATGCGGTGATACCACCCTCCCCCATCCCCTGGAGTTATAATATTTCCAGCGGCTCTGAAAACTCTCTGATGATGCGCTTGTTGCAGATGCACATGTACCTTGTCGTGTGGATATAGTGTGTGTAGTGTGGGAGACGTTTGGAATAAGTACCGCTGCATCTCTCCAGCTCTCACTGCGCCGGTCGAGTCCGAGTCCCGAGTCCCGCGCCAGGTCGGGTCCGAGTCCCGAGTCCCGCGCCAGGTCGGGTCCGAGTCCCGAGTCCCGCGCCAGGTCGGGTCCGAGTCCCGAGTCCCGCGCCAGGTCGGTCCGAGTCCCGAGTCCCGCGCCAGGTCGGGTCCGAGTCCCGAGTCCCGCGCCAGGTCGGGTCCGAGTCCCGAGTCCCGCGCCAGGTCGGGTACCCGCGGACTTGAGAGAGTGACGTGGAGCAGGTGTCCGCAAAGCACGATTGGACGATGCCTGCACTTACCTCCGTGTGGCGCGGAGCTCTACGCTGGTCCTTTCCCCTGTGGTCACCCGACAGTCTACACGGGCGCACCTTAGTCCTGGGTTAGTCCTGGGTTAGTCCTGGGTTAGTCCTGGGTTAGTCCTGGGTTAATCCTGGGTTAATCCTGGGTTAGTCCTGGGTTAGTCCTGGGTTAGTCCTGGGTTAGTCCTGGGTTATCACGGGCGGTAATGTGTGGAATGTTAACGGGTCCAGGCGGGTGCGGGTCTCTAAAAATGGACCCCTGCAGGACTCTGGGTCGGGTCACGTGCGCTGATCGCGGTGGCTCAACATCCACGGTGATTCATTTTTTCGGTTATTGCGACAGCCCTCGTCTCGTGGTCTCACGCTCCACACACCAGCCTCTGTCATGAGTAGAATCCGTGCTTCTTGTTCTTGCTGCAGGTGTCTCAGATCGGGTCCATATTCGAGTGTCTTCTGGAGGAGGAGGAGCGAAGCCTGAAGGACAATCCCGTGGAGTCGGTGCAGTGGGCCGAGGTCGTCCTCGCCGTCAACAACATCCTCAAGGTACAAGCACGACTCGTGGACACACATCAGTACTCTCTGTAGGAGCGTAACGATATCCAAGTGTCACGATACGATATCGTCACGGTATGAACCTCACTGTTCCATATTTATTGTGATAGTGTGGAAAGTTCACGATACGGTGGGGAGACTCATGATTAGAGATGTAACAATATCCAAATCTTACGGTACGATATTTATTGTGATATTTTAATATGCTACTTTTTCCTCTTAAAACGCCTCCACAAGATTTAATCCAAAGAACTAAGACTTAAAAGTGTTAGAATTGTTATTTCTTCTTGTCGTCTGCGCTGAAATGGAGCAAAGGATCATGGTCTATGTAGTTCCCTCTGTCTTTTTTTAATCTGTCGCTGCACCAGAACTCTTCATTCAAACAAAGAGACTTTTAATTCGATATATTGTGATGGTCCACGATGTTACTGTGAGAACTTTGACGATACGATATCACGATATTTCCGTTATTGTTACATCCCTAACTCTCTGTCGTCGCTCTGAATTATAACCCTGTCTGTCTGTCCGTATGTGTTCCCAGGACGTCCTGCAGGCGGCGCTGCAGTACAGAGACACCAAAGCCTCCATGTACAGAGCGTCAGAGCGAGCGGCGTCTGAGCCCGAGTACATCCCCTGGACAGGTCGCTAAACAAACACAAACATCATCAGTTTATTTCAGAAACTGTGAATCTCCCGTAGAGTTCTAAAGCTCTGATTTAATGTTTCCTTATCACACACAGACCTGGAGTTTTGTTTTGTTTCATTCACACATGTTTAACACTAGGGATGGGCATGATTAGTCGATTAATTGATAATTGATCATTAAGAATTTCATCGATTATGTTCATTTTAATCAACAAACCGAATGTAGGTTTCTGTGTGTATCATGACCAAACAGGTGTGTACATGTGTCTCTGCATCAGAAGGAGCGACACACAAACAGTGGGTCAGTCTGTAACGAACCGAAGCACAAATGTGGATTTAACCAGGATTTGTAGAAGAAATTCCACACTTTCTGTTCTGGTTGGGACAAGTGTGAGTCCATGTGCACAGTGGATAAAGCAGCACATATGTTTCTGTGTCCAGTGGGAAAAAGTTCACCAGGACACAGAAAACACAAATCTGGTCACACTAACCTGTATTCACCTGAGTCGTGTCTTTTAATCTGACAGAAGTTGAACCACATCAGCGACACAAGAGCTGTTTTTTTTTTCTTCACTTAGTTTATGTAAATTAGTGATGTGGTTTTAAGTTTTGTTTCTGTGAGACTTGAACAAATCTGCATTAAACACATTATAATGTCAAACGGGCTGATGTGGCGCTAGAGCACAGGTGTCAAACATACGGCCCGGGGGCCAGATCCGGCCCTACAAGACCTTTAATGTGGCCCTCGGCTGATTTTCTACTAAAATATTTGAATGATATTTTCTATTAAAATCTTGTTAATTTTCTGTGGTGTTTATCACAGCAGCGTCTCCAGCGTCTCTGTACGTGGCCCCTCCCACCAGAGCAGCACAAATGAAGACTTGTCTCTTTCCAAACGCTCTTAAAGGACGATCGTTTTGACTGTTGACCGTGACACCCTCATCAGAAAAATGTCCAACATGAGAAAAGTGGAGCCGAGTGCAGGATTTTACAACAAAAATTTACTTATTCCTATTTCCATACAAGTTCATGTTAAAACTTTGTATAGAAATTGTATTTTTCTTAAAGTTTCAGGTTGTTCATAATATTATAATATTTAGTAAAAGAAAGAGTTCATCAATTAAGAAAAGATTTCTGTAATAGATTTGTGTTTCTCTGCACAAATATTTGAACTTATTGTTATTTTTGGGGTTTATATGACATGAGTTTGACAGTCCTGCTCTAGAGTGTTTGTGTTTATATGTCGTGAAGTTGAATTTATTTATGCAGATTAGTGCAGATAGTAATAATAATGATGATAATTTTAACATAAAAATGTTAATGATTAATCAATAATCGATCATTAATTCTCCCGACGATCGATTAAGAAAATTTAATCAAATGCCCATCCCTAGTTGTAACATAAACTCTCGTTGTGTCCTCAGCCTCCTCGTGCGTTCGCTCCGTCCTCTCTCGACAACACGAGCTGCTCCTGCGCTCCGTTTACCCTCAGGCCGACTCGGAGCTGCGCGCCGCCGTCTGTGAGCAGCTGGTGACGCTGTTGGACGTTTACCTGGGCGGGTACGTGGCCCAGCTCAACTCCGTGCAGCAGCAGAAGCCCGCGGGAGGGCATCAGGAGCGATTCAACGCCCTGGAGCTGGAGTACACCCAGAGGAGAGGAGAGATGCTCGGAATGCTGCGTGAGTGTTTTTTTTTTTTTTTTGGAAGATTTAGTTTACACCTCTCCATATCCCCGCTTAGTTTATTAATTGTCGTCTGGTTTGTTGTACTGACGAAGTGTAACCGTGTGTTGTTGTGTCTCAGTGGACCTGGGTCAGTACCAGTGGGTGGCGACTTTGGCAGAAAAATACTGCGACTTCGACATCCTGGTCCAGATGTGTGAAAAGACGGACAACCAGAGCCGACTGCAGCACTACATGAGCAAGTTCGCCAACCAGGTACGCTGCCCCTGTCTGCCCCTGTCTGCCCCTGTCTGCCCCTGTCTGCTCCTGTCTGCTCTGTCTGTCCTGTCTGCTCCTGTGTCTGCTCCTGTCTGCCCTGTCTGCTCCTGTCTGCTCCTGTCTGTTCCCTGTCCCTGTCTCCCACAATTTGCTCCTGTCTCCCATGGTCTGCTCCTGTCTGCTTTCATGTGCACCTGTCTACACCTCTCTTTCTGCACCTGTCGGCTGCTCTGACTCTGCACCTGTCGGCTCCTGTTTGCTTTCATGTACACCTGTCTGCTCCTGTCTCTGCACTTGTCTGCTCCTGTCTGCTCCTGTCTCTGCTCCTGTCTGCTCCTGTCTGCTCCTGTCTGTCCCTGTCTCCCACAATTTGCTCCTGTCTCCCATGGTCTGCTCCTGTCTGCTTTCATGTGCACCTGTCTACACCTCTCTTTCTGCACCTGTCGGCTGCTCTGACTCTGCTCCTGTCTGTGCCCCTGTCTGCTCCTGTCTGCTCCTGTCTCTGCACTTGTCTGCACTTGTCTGCACTTGTCTGCTCCTGTCTGCTCTTGTCTCTGCTCCTGTCTCTACCCCTGTCTGCTCTGTCTGCTGCCCTGTCTGCTCCTGTCTGCTCCTGTCTCTGCTCCTGTCTGCTCCTGTCTGCTCCTGTCTCTGCTCCTGTCTGCTCCTGTCTGCTGCTCTCTGTCTCTGCTCCTGTCTGCTCCTGTCTCTGCTCTTGTCTCTGCTCCTGTCTGCTCCTGTCTGCTCCTGTCTCTGCCCCCTGTCTGCCCCTGTCTCTGCTCCTGTCTGCTCTGTCTCTGCTGTCTGCTCCTGTCTGCTCCTGTCTGCTCCTGCTCCTGTCTGCTCCTGTCTGCTCCTGTCTCTGCTCCTGTCTGCTCCTGCCTGCTCTTGTCTCTGCTCCTGTCTGCTCCTGTCTGCTCCTGTCTCTGCCCCCTGTCTGCCCCTGTCTCTGCTCCTGTCTGCTCCTGTCTGTCTGCTCCTGTCTCTGCTCTTGTCTCTGCTCCTGTCTGCTCCTGTCTGCTCCTGTCTCTGCCCCCTGTCTGCCCCTGTCTGCTCCTGTCTGTAACAGTCTCTCTCTTGCTTCTTTCTGGTCAGAACTTCTCAGACTTCCTGTTCCGCTGGTACATGGAGAAGGGGAAGCGGGGGAAGCTTCTGTCTCAGCCGGCGGCGCAGCACCAGCAGTTGGCCAGTTTCCTCCAGTCGCACCAACACCTGAGCTGGCTCCACCACATCCACGTCAGCAACTTCCAACAGGTGAACACTACTGCAGGGTTACGTGTGTGTGTGTGTGTGTGTGTGTGTGTCTGTGTGTTGATCTCTGTCTCTCTCTCAGGCTCATCAGACGCTCTACGCTCAGGCGAACGCAGAGACCCGCTACTTCACTAAAAAGAAAACTCTCTTGGCTCTGAGCAAACTCACGGCTCTGGCCTCGGACCTGAGCCAAGACGATATCAGCAAACAAGTCGACGGTGAGGAGATTATTTTTACTTAAAGCTGCATTGTGTAACTTTCTGGTGGAAGGAATTTGTTCCTCCAAATCTGAGGTCGTGGTTCTAGACCGGAAAAAAGTCGTCTTGTCGTCTCCGGGCGGGTGGAGAGTCTCTCCCTCAAGTGGAGGAGTTCAAGTATCTCGGGGTCTTGTTCTCCTGTGAGGGGAGGATGGAGCGTGAGATTGACAGGTGCAGCGTCGGCAGTGATGACTGATGTCATTCTCCGTTCCTCCCCTCACCTCTGGTCATGAGCTCTGGGTAATGACCGAAAGGACGAGATCGCTGATCTCGAGCGCTCGAAATGAGTTTCCTCCACAGGGTGTCTGGGCGCTCCCTTAGAGACAGAGTGAGGATCTCAGTCACACGGGAGGAGCTCGGAGTAGAGCCGCTGCTCCTCTACTCCAAGGGAGTAGGCTGAGGCTCGGGCATCTGTTCTGATGTCTCCTGGGCGTCTCCCTTCGGGAGGTCTTCCGAGCATGTCCCACTGGGAGGAGGCCCTGGGGAAGACCCAGGACACCCTGGAAGGGCTGTGTCTCTGGACTGGCCTGGGAACACCTCAGGATCCCCCTGGAGGAGCTGGAGAAAGTGTCTGTGGTGTCTGTGGCGAGGTGACCTCGCTCACAGTCAGAATGTCAGTTTTTCTAGGGATTTTTGAGCTCTAAAACTATCTGTAATTGAATAAATGTAAGGTAGATCTGTTTAAAGTCACACTGGGGAACATTCCAGGCAGAGCAAAGACATATCCATAGAAACAAGCAGGTGACTGATCCCCAATCAGAAAGTTACACAGTGCAGCTTTAATGTTTCCAAGCCGTGTGACCTCATAGACGACACAGTCTGTGTGTCCTCAGTGTGTGTGAGCTCTCTGTCGCCCCCTGTGTTTCAGACATCGTAGAGCAGGAGCGCTTCCTCCTGCATCAGGAGACTCTCCCTCGACAGCTGCTGGAGGAGAAACAGCAGAACCCGGAGACGATGCCCGTGCTCAGCGCCCACAACCTCATACAGGTAAAACAAACGGGCACAGATCAGGAACATCACAGCACACGAGAGCTTTACTTCTGAATAAAAATAATTGAATTCTGAATAAAAATAAGACCATGTGAACACGTAACTCCCAATGAAAATTATTACTCAGATTGGAGCAAATATCAAAAATATTAAGATGTGTAGCCTATGACTCTGATTTCCCTCCAAATACTCATGATAATAGGTTCAAAACATGGATATCAAAGGGTCTGACGTCATACTACTCTTTCATCCACAAAGGGGTATTTTTGAGCTTTGACAAATTAAAGGGGAAAAATGGATTAGAACAGGAAGACTTTTACAGATATCTACAGATTAGACATCATTTTGACCAAAACATGAAAGGTATATGGGAAAACGGCGATTTGGGATTCATATTGACCCTTTTAACATTAACAAAATCAATGTCTCAGAGTAATATAATATCTAAATTACATAAAGCAATTCAACAAGGTAAAGAAGGTAACACAGAATATATTAAGAAAAGGTGGGAAATGGAAGGTAATCTGAACATTTCAAGTGAAAGTTGGGAAAGAATTTGTCAATTACAATGGAAGACAACATTATCTAATATATGGCGAGTGTTTGGATGGAAGAATATTGTCAGGTTTTTTATCACACCTGTTCAAAAAAGACACCAGGGGAACGGGGATTCATGTTGGAGACTCTGTGGCTCATCGGGGGTGAACCACTACCATATTTTTTGGGATTGCAATGTTCTGAAATTTTATTGAACACAGATTTGGAGTCATATAAACCATGTTTTTGGATCTAAATCGATGTTTAGCTTTGAGTGTTTATACTTGGGAGATGTTAATGTCCAGAATTGGGGAAATGATGATAAAAAGTTATTAGCAATCCTACTTATAGCAAGCAAAAAAGCCATGACAAGAAAATGGCTGAGGGTGGATCCTCCATCAATAGAGGAGTGGATAGAAATAGTTTTTGAGATTTATGTGATGGAAAAGCTGTCTTTCACCCTCCAGAACCAAAGGGACTTAATTTATGAAACATAGACGAAATGGACTGAGTATGTGAAACCTGTCAGATCGGACTTTATCTGAAAATTATTAGCGTACACACATCTTGATTGATATTTCATTGAACGATTTCATTGAACGGCACTCTTCTCTTCTGTGTTTGTTTTTCTGTTTTGTTTTGTTTTGTATAACTGAAAAAAAAAAAGAAAATCATTATTCAGAATTAAACTTCATTCCAAAGTAAGTGGGTGGTTTATTCAGATTTTAAAGGCGAATTAATTTATTCCTCGATCATGTAAACGTTTATTCTGCTTAAAAATAATTGCGTTTTTCTTGTGTCCACAGCTCTACATCTGTGACGACAACAGACGAGCGAATGAGTACGACTTTAAGAAAGCTCTGGACCTGCTCGAGTACATCGAAGAGGTGCTGCTTTTACATGATCAGTTATTATTATGATGATGATTTAAACTCATTTTGTTAAAGCTCAGTGAGAAATCCAGCGTGTAAAGCTGCGTGCGTTTGTCCATCCGTCTCCTACTGGGGTCTGGGATACGACGTCACACCCGCTCGTCAAACGTTTTATTATGTTTCGCGCGTCCGACTCGAAGAAAAACGTGGACACTAAACGCAAATCTGTTGCTTTAGCATTGACCAAGTACCAAAAATAAGTATGGAACTTTGCTTAAGGCTTTTTTTGACACGTTTCTAACAACAAAAAAACAGACAAACACTCAAGTCAGAAGATGAGAGTGCGGAGCTCTGACACAGCTTCAGGAAAAATCGTTTTTAACTGTTGAAAAATCCAACCAAATAGAGAATCAGTTTAGTTCAAGACACAAGACGCTCTCAAGCACAGACACAGAGCTGAGCCTGCGGTTAACAGGTGACTGTACAGGCGACTTTCAGCTGACGTCATTGTTATTAAAAACTCGCGTTGCTGCTGGGAAATATTTTGGTCAGGAGGCAAGAAACACGGTAGCGTCAAACACAGTTCGTAACCTCGTGTATTTCTCCTCGATAATGGTAAATTCCTGCTGCATTATCAGATGCACAAATAGAAGCACAGAAGAAGGAAAATGTCTTTTTCGTATTCTGAGTGAAAAGAACTGCTAACGGCAAATTAAACGACTTTCAAACATCCGCAGAGCAAACGTAGAAGATCCTAACAAACCGTGGACTCAACAAGTTCAACAACACATCCAGACTCTTGGAGGTTTTCATCTTTTCTGCTGTGAATGGCCCAGGAGTTTCCACCAAGTCATTGTGGATATCGCCCAAGTGAATATTTGTCCAGGTAGTTGGAGATTCTGACCAGAAGTTTGGTTTGGTCCAGACTCTGTCGGGGTTGAAAAGGGTGATTTGTCGTCCGTCGATGTTTATGACCAATTTCTGGTCAAATGGTCTTGGGTCCTCTGCCGTTAGAGTGGATAAATAACCGGGATCAATACCCTTTACGTGCTTTCTCGCTCCGTCCAACATGTTGAATTAGTGTTTCTTGCCGACGACCAAAATAATTCCCAGCATGCATCGCTCGCTTTTGTCAACAATGAAACTCGCCTATAGGGAAATTTCCAAGTATTTTGAGCAAACTCTAAATATTAATTAATTTGCTTAAAATTTTGACCCAGATATTTTTGTCAAATATGGAACCAAATGCAGAGTTCTAATCTAGAAAATCTAAAAATAAAAAAGTTTTGGACACCGTAATAACCAGGATACTCAAAAAAAAAACAAAAGACAAACCTGCTCATAACCTGGACACTGGAGCTCATGTGAACATTGTGCTCATGTGACAATTTTAGTTTTTTAATTCTTCTGTAATTCAAGCTGGTGTCTGATTGTGTTTCAGGAGGACGAAGTGGACATTGAAGCTCTCAAATGTGAAATCCTGGGAAAAGCTCTTCGCAAAGACGAGTACGACACTTTTGATGAACAGTTTGTGTGTCACAGTATAAAGTTTTTGTGTTACGATTATTGTGAGAAGAAACGTCACAATCTAAAACAAAAACTGAAATCTTTACTTTTGCATTAAGGTGAAAGAAAACGTAAAGCTGCACTGTTTTTTGGAGGAAAACATTTATTTACTTGATTAATTTTGCTTCTAAAAATGGACACGATTATAATATTGTAATTCTTAACGTTATATTGTGACCTTAACAATCACGACTTTCGATTAAACATATAATTTTGGCGTCCCGTGTTGTGCGAAAATTCCGTAGTTTCACTTTTGTATTTTGTTTTTTTGTCTCAGTTGGTCGACGGCCGATGGAAACGACGACCCGCTGGAAGCCGCCAAGGAAAGTGTTTTCGTCAAGATCCTGCTCAAACTCATCCAGGAAGGTCAGACGTCTTTTTCACGTAGACTTTTTGTATAAATTGATAGAACGTTCCAAACCGGAAGTGAGCATGGGCGCACTTCTGGCTCCATCGATTCACTTTTATTGAAAATCCGTGGTCCCTCTCGCTGGACCTGCTGCTGTGATTCTCGTCATTTTGGTCTTAAAATGTTCGTACTAACCCGTTCTACATGATCCTGGTGGTTTTATTTCGCTATTTTGTCCCCAAATCAAGATATGAACATTAATAACACACTCTTACTAGTGTTGGCGATGGGCTCTGTTCACACTTACCAGAAGACGTTTGGAAACCTGCGTACAACGACTTTAGGTGCAGTTCCCGACACTGGGCATGCATGGATCTAAAATAAAAACTTGTATTATTATTATAGTTTAGATTGTATTATAGTTTATAGTTCTGTGTGAGGGGCATGTGATAAAACCGTGGAGTCAGCAGCAGAGTCTTCACAACCTGACGAAGTTTTTCCATGAGGGACGAGACTCGAATCACGTCTTTGATGTCACTTACAGACAGCCAGTGTTGGGAGTAACGCGTTATAAAAGTAACAAATTACTGTAATGTGTTGCTTTTTTTGGTGTAACGCAGTAATGTGGCGTTACAGGAAAATTAAAAAAAATATTTGACTGGGTACAAATGCTTTTTTAACCTGGATTGAAGTGGTGGGTTTTTCTTCATACAAATTCGCTAAAATCACCGAGATATCAGCAGCGGAGAAACGCCGGAGATGCGCCCGCGTAGACCGTCAGGTGACCTCGGGCGAAAGGGCCGACGCAGAACTCCACGCTCCAAAGAGCTAAACGCAACTGACGCCCGATCGCGCTTTGCAGAAACCCTGTCTGCAAAGCGCTTCCAAGTTCTAGTCCAAGATTAGTCCTGGTTTAGACCTGGTTTAGTCCTGGTTCAGTCCTGGTTCAGTTCTGATTTAATCCTGATTCAGTCCTGGTTTAGTCCTGGTTCAGTCCTGGGTTTGTTGAGAGTAAATAAAAGTGCTGCAATAATAATGTAAAGCTTTACAGTTTAAATACAGTAATATTGTAATGGAACGAATTACTTTGAAATGACAGTAATGAGTCATAAATATTACACATGACAGTGTTAAAGTCACTTGTCCAACAGTGCAGACCGCTGCTTAGAACTGTTGACCTGATGAACTTGACGGAAGCTGCAGGGACATTAGGATTGGGCGGTGTACAAATTCTGATACCGTTAAACCTTCTCAGGATTTTGCCGGGGTTTACAGTATTACCATATTACCAAAATGTTTTAGTACGACTTTGGTAAACTACGAAGCCGCACCGCTGTAGGATCTGTGTGTACGACCTTTCACATGAACCATCTCCAACACGACAGAAACACAGAACAGACTCACCATCAGCAGAACACCCCTCTGTCACAGAGAGAACACTCATATTCCACTGAGTCGTGTCGTTTAGTCCGACAGAAACTGAACCACATCAGACACAAGGAAACAACTGTTTTTATCAGAGCGAAAGAGTTTAAAGAAACATTATAGACACTATTAGTTTTAAATTGTGAAACATTAAACTGAAAATACAACCAAACATTCATTTGTGCTGAGCAAACAAATTTAGGAATTAGTAAATTATAATATTACATTAGGTCGTTATGCACTGCAGATTTTTTTAATGACGGTGGAGAAACAGACATCATACTTTTTGATCCCGCGGGAAACCGTAATATTGTGTTTACTGCCCAAACCTTAGTGAGGATCTAAGGCTCGTGTGGGGTTAAAAAGTCTGAAATATAATTTGGTGCGAGACCTAAACAAACTTTAAAAGTGATGAGTCAGCTGACGGACCTGGAGACTGTTGTGACGTCGTCTGAAACCCGCCAGAGGATTTGATAAATAAATTAAAATAACAAAACAGTTTGACAGTTTCCAGCTGCTCTGTTTCACATTTCTGTTGATACTTCGTGTGTTTGTGTTTCGTAGGCGTCTCTCTTCAGTCGTACCTCCCGGACGTTAAAGACCTTCTGGATTTGGAAGAACTCGGCGCTCTGAAGTCCAAACCGTATTTTGAGTTTGTGCTTCGAGCGAATTACGAACATTATCTCCAGGCTCAAATGTGACCGCGCTTCAAAACCAGCTTTAAGAAGAATCCTCTGTTATTGTTTTATATAAATGTGCTCTTTTTCTAAATAAATCTTTGTGAAAATAACAAAGGGCTGTCGTTTTTAAAGGTGCGTTATGTAACTGGAATTTTAGTTTCTCTTTCACACAACTCCAGCGTTCTGTTCAGTTCTCATGAGGCTGTTATGATTTCTGAACGTCTTTTGTTTAAAAGAGACGACAATAAATGCACTGACAGGATTTTAAATGTTAAAAACTATAATCCCAAACCATAAGGTGAGTGGAAAGATTTTCATTTCAGATTTAGCCCTAAAAGTCTGATCAGTTCCACACATGTAGGAGCCGTAAAATCATGGAAAATTCACTTTAGCTCATGAAAAAGTCATGAAAAAGTCTTGAAATTTTGTCAGTGAAAAAGAGAGTGTCTGGTCTCGTTTTGTGGAAACTGTATCTCGTCCCGGCCCTGATTACGTACAGAAGTAAACAGAACGTGGACCTAATCATCAGTGTTGAGGAGTAACAGAGTTATGTAATCAGAGTACAAATGATGAGTAACTGTATTCAGTTACAGTTACTGTTTCAGTGAGTGGTAATTGGATTACAGTTACTTTGTTGAAATAAATGGATTACACAGAGGGATTTTCCTGTTTTCACATTTTGGGCTGTTTCCTTTTTTTTTTGTTGTTGTTGTAAACCAGGTCTAAACCAGGACTAAAACCAGGACTAAACCAGGACTAAACCAGGTCTAAACCAGGACTAAACCAGGACTAAACCAGGTCTAAACCAGGACTAAACCAGAACTAAACCAGGTCTAAACCAGGTCTAAACCAGGACTAAACCAGGTCTAAACCAGGACTAAACCAGGTCTAAACCAGGACTAAACCAGGACTAAACCAGGACTAAACCAGGTCTAAACCAGGACTAAACCAGGTCTAAACCAGGTCTAAACCAGGACTAAACCAGGACTAAACCAGGTCTAAACCAGGTCTAAACCACCAGGACTAAACCAGGTCTAAACCAGGACTAAACCAGGTCTAAACCAGGACTAAACCAGGACTAAACCAGGTCTAAACCAGGACTAAACCAGGTCTAAACCAGGACTAAACCAGGACTAAACCAGGACTAAACCAGGTCTAAACCAGGTCTAAACCAGGACTAAACCAGGACTAAACCAGGACTAAACCAGGACTAAACCATGCTGCACAGACCATGTCTCCTCCTCTCAATAATATTTTTAATAACGTTAAGGAAAGTCTGGGATTTTTAATTTTCTTATAGCAGAAAAAATACCTTATGTGAAGATTTCCTCGTCTTTGCTTCTCTACAGCAAATCAAGTAATCCAAAGTATTCAGATTACATTACTCACTTTAAGTAATTTAATGGATTACGTCACAAACTACATTTTGAGGTATGTAATCTGTAATCTGTAGGGGATTACATTTTAAAAGTAAACTTCCCAACACTGCCAATCATCAATAAAACACGAGAACTCCACTTTAAAATCTTACACACGTTTTACCCCTCAAACTTTTTTTTTTATCCAGGTTTCTCCAAATCGACCCAGTTTGCAATTTCTGCTTGTCACACCCTGAAAACGTTTTTCATTTATTTTTCTCATTTCCCATTAGCTTCACCTACTGGAAACAAATAAAACATTTTCTCTCCCAGAATTTACACTTTCCAATAACCTTGAATGAAGAAAACATCATGACCCATTATACGCATCAAAATACAAAAATTTAAAATGAATTCATCTATTTATTCTTCTCGGCAAATACCACATACACAGAGCAAAATTCTCAAGAACAAAACCTTATTTTCCACGACTACTAATAGAAATAAATCATTACTTTCAGTCGATCCAACATTTAATCTGCTAAAAGGAAAGTTTAATAACCAACATCTACACAGAGAATAAATTCATAGTCAGATAAATCTTCTCCTCATCCTTCAGTTCAGTCGCTGATTCCTCTTTCATTTCAGTTAGTTTCTCTTATTCGGTTTGATTTACTGTCATATGTTAAGTTATGTTTACATTATTTCTGTTTTTTTGTTTTGTTTGTTTTTTCCAATGAATCTGAATATCTGTGTTATGTATGTGTAGTGTATATTACTGTATATGTGTAAAATAATTCAGTAAAAAAAAAAAAAAAAAAACAGAACGTGGAGCGGACGTGGGCGATGCAGTCACGTGATCAGCAGGTGCCGCTCTTCACCTGCGTCCTGCTCGAACAGACGCCGCGCATGCGCACATCGGAGCTCCCGCATCTTTATGGAACATGTCCCGTTTTCGTGAGTGTTTACGATCGAGTCTGAAGACACGAGATTCAGCCAGACCGGACCGGAAACTGCCCTTCAAAATAAAATACGTGATAGAAGCGCAATAGTGAAAAATAACATTAGATGATGATTATGTCAAATAAAAAAAGGCACTAATTTCACCAGTGTTATACAAGTTCACACTTTTCATGAACTAGTTCAAAGTTCAGTTCACACATGTTCAAAGTGAACAGTTCACGTTCATAGTTCACAATTTTAATTTTGAACTAGTTCAAAGTTCATTTCATTTTATTTTTAGGTGACATATGTAAATGAAAGGCTTAACTTATTTTTCAAACTGACTTCCAGTTTACAACAACTTTACAACAGATAAACCGTAAGCCCTATAGAGCCACATCAGCCTGTTTGACATTATAATGTGCTTAACGCAGCTTTGACACTTTTGTTTATGTCTTACAGAAACGAAACTTAAAACCACATGGCTAATTTGTATAAACTGTACATGCTGGAAAAAAGCAACTTTTTCCTTGTGCACTGATGCATCAGCTTCTGTCAGACTAAAGGACATGACTATATATGTTGTTTCTGTGACAGCGGGATGTCGCTGCAACTTTTGGATGCGTAATTTGTAGAATGAAAGTGATGAGGGCGGCACTTAAAGTGCCCCAAAACAGTGAGTTAACATGTTATAACATTACAATACTTAGACAGATATATTTCATGGGGCCAAAAGACAGTTTACAGGAATTTAACACTTCCAAGAACAGTTGAAAAAAGACTGGAATAACAGATGAAAAGAGAACAATATGGCGGCCAAGGCAGCTCAGAGTAGACAAAATAAACTCAAAACACAAATATTCTCCACTGGGGGCAGAACATTACTAAATTCACGTTAAGCACGGATAACAGACCTACTGTCAGTATGAATGTCAAAGACTTTGACTATTTTAAAACAGACTTCATTTTTAACTTCTAATATTGAATCTTTATGTTTTGCACCTTTCCGTGACTTTTATTGTGAAGGCGCCTCCCGGATGTCGTTCTTGTTCACTCTCCGGCTCCATCTTTTCCAGTCTCGCTGTTTTCTGTCAAACGGAGCCGAGCAGCGATGCACCTCTGCGGGGAATAATTAGCCCTATAGCCCCTGAAACCCCCGGAGAAAGCGCGGGTAAGTCTGAAATAACCAAACATTTAAATCAGAATAAAAACGACGCCGTGACAGAGACGACATTTTGTTTGTTTACCGCCTCTGCTTTTACAGGCTCTTAGTAAGGACAGGTAAGCAGCGGGAATGCGTGTTTTTTTAGTCGTTTTAGGGCGAAATTCTTCCACAAACTTCACATTTAGAGCCCGAATTTAACGTACAAATGCGTAAATGACATGCAAGTGCAATTATTGTGCAAAAAATATGCAAAATGAACCAGTTTCTGCACAAAATCGTGTTAAAACTTGACATTTCCCTTCAGAATCATGCATTTTAAATACATTTGAACATGCATTTTTAATCAAATGAAACGCAAATTGTAATTATATTTAAATTAGAGCTGAATGCAAAGTGAAAGTAGTGACCCAGTGGAGGATTGTGTAAGGTTAAGGCTGTAGTCTGACGTGTTGTAGTGTTGATTTGCAGTGCTTCTTGTGGTCCGGGGTTTGTAAACAGTATGTCCGTGAGTATTGATCAGATAAAGCGTTAAAACGGAACATTATGGAGCCGCGTGCACGCGTCAGGGCGCGGGAGTAAAGTCCATTATGAGGCTCATCCTCCTTTAATCTGCGCCTGTGGAGGAAGTGAACAGAGAAACAGGTTCACAACAATATGGAGCAGATTAGAGATGATTTTATTCAGAATTAAACCACAAACTGAAAAAAACAAACAAAAACAAACTTGTAAGATTTACTAGAAAAAAAACAACAAAACAACTCAATATGGAGCAGATTAGAGATGATTTTATTCAGAATTAAAACACAAACTGAAAAAAATAAATAAATCACTTGTAAGATTCACTAGAAAAAAAATCCTCGTAACAATTTGCACAAGTACTTTTTAAGTAAATGTCACTGCTGTAATATCACGTACAGTTTACTTGTCAGTGTCAAGTCATGAATTTACTGAGTAAGTGTTATTCTTTTTTTAAGTTAGAAGTTAGAAGTCATATTTATGTAAATAAATTAAGTAAAGTTTGCGAAATATTGTCATAATTATTTGCTTTGCTGTTGTGAAATAATGAAGTAAATATTATATGTAGAGGACAGAGCGGTTTATCAAAGTCTGATCTGGTCACATCTCAGAAGCTCAGCAGGGCAGGGCCTGGTTAGTACTTGGATGGAGACACTGGGAAAATCAGGAGCCACAGGAGGCGCCAGAGGCAAAAACTGTTGTTGTGTCCTTAGGCAAGACACTTCACCCACATTGCCTTGTATGAATGTGGTGTGTGTGAGTGTTGGTGGTGGTCGGAGGGACCGATGGTGCAGATTGTAGACAGTAGTAACTCACCATCACTGGGTCTGAAGTGACTGAATAATGTTCTGTAAAGCGTCTTTGTGACAAATGTCTGTGAAAAGCACTTTATACATAAAATACTTACTATATGTAGAGCTGTGCAAAAATATCAATATATCGTTTCGTTTAATGTGATGATTCAGTATCGATATCGTGGACTGCTGTATCGATATATCACCAAGAGTATTTTTGGTATATTTTACTAAATTATTTTGTTCCAGCAACAGTTTTGTTTCTGTTTAGAGGAAGGAAACTCGTTTATGCGACACATTTGACATTTTCACTGTTTTGATGATTAAAATGTTTGTGTTTCATATGAACTTTGCACAAGAAGAAGTGATTTAACAAAGACTTTTAGTGTCACAGACATGATTTAGCCTTTAGTTTTATTGAACCGTATCGAATCGATATGAAACAAACCTCACTGTATCGAGGTTTGTATCGTATCAGGGACTTCTTAACCTTCAGCCCTCGTACATATTATATTTTTCACGATATTTATTCACATGACAAATAAAGGAGCTCTCAAATACCAAATAATGTCACTGAAATAATCCATTCCTAAATAAGTCATTCCTTCATTCTTTTTTCAATATAAAATAAAAAATAAAAATAAATAATGCAAAAACAACTAATTTCTTCATTATTTGCCTTCAAAACCAAAATGAAAAAACAGATAATGATTAGTTTTTTCAATTTTAGATTTTGTGTTTAAATGAAAAATGGAAAAAACGGATAACGGACTAAACCAGGACTAAATCAGGACTGAACCAGGACTAAAAGGACTAAACAGGACTAAACCGGGGTCTGGGCCCAAACCAGGACTGAGACCAGGACTAAGACCGGGACCAGACCAGGACTGAAAATGGTTTAGTCCTGGTTTAGTCCTGTTTAGTCCAGGTTTAGTCCAGGTTTAGTCCTGGTTTAGTCCTGGTTCAGTCCTGGTTTTAGGTTTAGTCCTGGTTTAGTCCAGTTTAGTCCAGTTTAGTCCAGGTTTTAGTCCAGTTTTAGTCCTGTTTTAGTCCAGTTTAGTCCAGGTTTAGTCCTGGTTTAGTCCAGTTTAGTCCAGGTTTAGTCCAGTTTTAGTCCTGGTTAAGTCCTGTTTTAGTCCAGGTTTAGTCCTGGTTTAGTCCTGTTTTAGTCCTGGTTTAGTCCAGGTTTAGTCCTGGTTTAGTCCAGTTTTAGTCCAGGTTTAGTCCTGGTTTAGTCCTGGTTTAGTCCTGGTTCAGTCCTGGTTTAGTCCTGGTTTAGTCCATTATCCTTTTTTTCCATTTTTCATTTAAACACAAAATCGAAAACTGAAAAAACAGTTGATTATCTGTTTTTTTTATTTTGGTTTTGGAGACAAATAATAAAGAAAATAGTTGTTTTTTCGTTTTCTCATTTTTTGTTTTATTTTGAAAAACGAACAAACGAACGACACACAGTGATTCTGGAGTAACTGTATTTTCTCATTTGCAGATTTGTTTTTTAGCTGAATTTAAAAACCAAACAGAGCCATGGTGACGAAGAAGGTTCGGACCGAGTACATGAAGAAGTTTAAGGATCCGAGGTGGGACAGTTTTTCCAAGTGTTACGAGGACTGTGTGAAGTACCGTCTGACGCGGCGCGTGATGGAGGGCGCCCACAGACCCTGGTTCTGGGAGGGCTGGGAGAGCAGCTCCGAGTCCAGCGGCTGGTCCACGCCCCTGGGCAGAGGGAACCGCGTGGGGCCCCTGACCGCGGCGCCTCCGGACACGGCCGAGGTCACGCACAGGCTGATGGAGCTGAGGACCGATCCAGGACCCAAGCGCTGTTCTGGAGCGGAGGAAGAGGAGGGAGAACCTGGAGGAGGAGGAGGAGCAAAGACAGGTGAAAAAACAACAGGTTAAAGCGGAAACGACAGGTTCTAATTCTGACTTGGTTTGGCAGAGAGAAACTGTGGTAATTACATCAGCTGAATTTGTAAATTTGTGGGGGGAAAAATTTACAAAAACTGCAAAAATGAAGAAAGTAGCGCTGCGTTCTAAAACAGAATCCGTCATCAACACCGAAAACTCCATCCAAATCATCTCAAATCCAAATGACACAATTTACACACCAAGAAGATGTTTTTCTGTTAGTTTAGAGCTTCATTTTATAAATTAAATGTCCATCCATCCATTTTCTTCTGATTATCCGGGGCCGGGTCTCGGGGGCATCAGTCTAAGCAGGGACTCCCAGACTTCCTTCACCCCAGACACTTCCTCCAGCTCCGCCAGGGGAACCCTGAGGTGTTCCCAGGTCAGTCCAGAGACATAGTCCCTCCAGTGTCTCCTGGGTCTTCCCCGGGGCCTCCTCCCAGTGGGACATGAACACCTCCTGAGGGACACGTCCAGGAGGCATCCAGAACAGATGCCCTTGGTTTAGTCCTGGTTTAGTCCTGGTTCAGTCCTGGTTTAGTCCTGGTTCAGTCCTGGTTCAGTCCTGGTTCAGTCCTGGTTCAGTCCTGCAGTCCTGGTTTAGTCCTGGTTCAGTCCTGGTTCAGTCGCAGCTCTAATACAGATTTGATCTGATCTCGCGGGTCAAACATAATTATTTCGTGGGCCAAATTTGACCCCCGAGCCTGAGTCTGACACGTCTGATTTAGATACTGAAATTTGTTCAGACGTTTTAAAACTTTTGGCGTAGCGCTAACGAGAAAAACACATCATCTATTTTGTCTGTAGATTTGTATATTTAGTTTTTCTATTTATGCCTTTTGTTTTATCTAACACTTTTTTTGACAGTTGCAATAAAACTTTTTTCAGATTTCTGATTTACTCACTGAGGGCGACCAGATTTTCAAAATAAAAAACTGGGACACTTCCGGTTTGTGGTGGTTGGTGATAATAAAATTGTGAAACAAGTGAGTCAGTAGAGTCACATTTTGTTTGTGTTTTGGTCCTTTTTTTAAGCAGCTTTTCTGGATTTTACCGTAACAAATGTCAATTTATGTTTCTTTTTACTGTTGCAGGGATCAAACTGGTCAAAAATAGAGACACCTGGGACATTTCTTGTATAAAACTGGACAAATTAGTGTTTTTTTGTATAAATCTGCAGGTAGAGGAGACACAGACTCAAACTGGGACTGTCCCGATGTTCTAACGTCTCTTGTTGGCGTCTTGTGTCTGGACAGAGTCTCCGGTCGTACAAAACGGCCCCAACGACAACAACAACACTAACGCCGACGCCAACGACTCGGCCGCCGTTAATGGTTTCCATGACGACACGCCGACGGACAACGGCCCCATCGACAGCGCCTCGTCCGACGGGGAAATCCTGCAGCCGCGACACAGACAGAGGCCTCGACGGCGCCCGCCGAAGACCGAACCGAGACAGAGCCAGAGCCAGAGGGGGGGGAAGGTCCGAGCCAAGAGCCAGCCCCCGCTCAGCAGCAGAGAGCGGGACGGCAGACTGGACTGGACCCAGAAACACATGGAGGCCAGGAGGACCCCCGTCGATGTGAGTGAAACCTCGAGGCCGGTGCTCGTTTAGTTGAATAGTCGAGAAATCGTGAATCTTAGGCGACGTTCAGATAGAGCTGTCGCGATAACCGCAAAAATGAATCACCGCGGTACTAAAAGGTCCACCGCCGTGCATGTTGGGCCATCGCCATCACCACACGTGACCAACATGACCCGACCTGCACAGGTCCATTTTTAGAGACCCGCACCCGCCCGGACCTGTTAATATTCACCCGTGATAACCCAGGACTAACCCAGGACTAACCCAGGACTAACCCAGGACTAAACCAGGACTAAACCAGGACTAACCCAGGACTAACCCATGACTAACCCAGGACTAACCCAGGACTAACCCAGGACTAACCAGGACTAACCAGGACTAACCCAGGACTAACCCGGACTAACCCAGGACTAACCCAGGACTAAACCCAGGACTAAACCAGGACTAACCCAGGACTAACCCAGGACTAACCCAGGACTAACCCAGGACTAACCCAGGACTAACCCAGGACTAACCCACTAACAGGACTAAACCAGGACTAAACCCAGGGACTAACCAGGACTAAACCCCAGGACTAACTAACCCAGGACTAACCCAGGACTAAACCAGGACTAACTAACTACCAGGACTAACCAGGACTAAACCAGGACTAAACCAGGACTAAACCCAGGACTAACTCAGGACTAGGACTAACTCAGGACTAACCAGGACTAACCCAGGACTAAACCAGGACTAAACCAGGACTAACTCAGGACTAACTCAGGACTAACTCAGGACTAAACCAGGACTAACTCAGGACTAACTCGGACTAACCAGGACTAACCAGGACTAACTCAGGACTAACTAACTAGGACTAACTCAGGACTAACCCAGGACTAACCAGGACTAACTCAGGACTAACTCAGGACTAAACCAGGACTAACTCAGGACTAACTCAGGACTAACTCAGGACTAACTCAGGACTAACCAGGACTAACTAACTAACTCAGGACTAACTCAGGACTAACTCAGGACTAACTCAGGACTAGGACTAACCAGGACTAAACCAGGACTAAGCCAGGACTAAGGACTAGACAGGTTGCGAACCGGACAGACCACAGGCTACACCTGCTCCGCGTGCTCATGTTCTCTCTTAAGTCCGTGGGTACCAGACCTGGTGCGGGTTACTCTGACCCGACCTGGTGCGGGACTCTGACCCGACCTGGTGCGGGACTCTGACCCGACCTGGTGCGGGACTCTGACCCGACCTGGCGCGTTACTCTGACCCGACCTGGCGCGGGACTCTGACCCGACCTGGTGCAGGACCCTGACCAGAGTTGCCACAGTGAGAGCTGGAGAGATGCAGCAGCACTTGTTCCAAAGCCAAATGTTACTACACAAACTATATCCACGCGACAACCAAAGTTCATGTGCATCTGCAACAAGTTCATCATCAGAGAGTTTTCAGAGCCGCTGGAAATAATATAACTCGGGGGGATGTGGGGATGAGGGGATGAGGGGATGAGGGGATGAGGGGGGGTGTGATATCACCACATACCGCACTGTTGAGCCGCTAAACCACACCGCAGGAGAAACTCCCTAACCATGACAAGCCATAATTTCAGACTGTTTTCTGATCTTTTAACGACCGTCTGAACCACATTTTTCACATATGACCCAGGGCACTTGCATGGACAGAATATGTGCCCCTAAAACCGATACATATCTGATCTTTTGACATGCGACTTCAGTCTGAACGGCCCCACACCCGCTCCCCCCGACCCACCGGGCACCACCCGCTCTGGAGGATTTCTCAGATTTTGCTTAGGGGCAGAGTAAAACTTCAGGTGTTTATTGGCTCTTTAAGACTTTGATTAAACTAGAAAGTGTGAACACAGCCTGAGGGAGACTATTTTTAACTCTTAACTATGGATCTAATTAATAATAATAATAATCTAATAATAAGATCGTATTATTCTTCTCGTTAAAGCCTGAGTTTGAGTTTGAGTTTTGTGCTGAACTGAACCCTGGCGTTAACCGTACAGACTGTGATCTCTGTAGCACTGGAGTCTTTCCTGCGGGAAACCGGATCCACCTGAGACACTCAACACTCGTCATGAATAAAACAGGAGGCGTGTGGTTTTCGGAAACTGAGGGTCCAAAGAAAGGAGCAGGTTCAATTCCAGTGCGCCCCTGAGCAAGTCATTTCACTGACATAAAACCAGACAGAGCAGTGTGATCATGTGTAAGAGTCACTGGAATATTTTAAAAGATAATTAAACCAAACTTTGATTTCTAATTTAATTTTATTTAATATTTGAACTGCTGAAAGTCCACTTGCCTGTTCATGTTTATAGAAGAGCTGATCTTAAAAACCGAAAAGTTCTTTTCATTCTCTTCTGCACCGTCTTTTTTTTGTTGTTTTTGTGTCTAATGTTTGTGCAAATATCTCTTTTCTCCTCCTCTTTCTCTTCTCTCTCTCTGTTTCTCTCTCTTCAGAGCCACACGTCCGACGTCTGTGTCCAAACGGGGAGGCCCAAGACCGGTCTCCGCTCTCACATGAGGAGGACCCGCTCCGCAGACCTGATCCGGAAGAACCAGCTCTCGGTGTCCGACAGTCCCTGGGTCACAGAGTACATGAGGTGCTTCTCCGCGCGGGTCAGGTAGAACAGCAGAGGGGGGGAACAGCTGAAGGGGGAACAGCCGAAAGAAGAACAATTGAAGGGAACGTCTGAAAGGAGAACATCTGAAGGGAGAACATCTGAAGGGAGAACATCTGAAGGGAGAACATCTGAAAGAAGAACATCTGAAGGAAGAACAGCTGAAGGGTGAACAGCTGAAAGAAGAACAATTGAGTGGGGAACATCTGAAGGGGGAACAGCTGAAGGTAGAACAGCTTAGGGGTGAACAACTGAAGGGAGAACGTCTGAAGAGAGAACAGCTGAGGTAAGAATAGCCGAAGGGAGAACGTCTGAAGGGTGAACGTTCAAAGGAAGAACAGCTGAAAGGAGAGCTTCAGAAGGAAGAACAGCTGAAGAAAGAGCAGCTGAAAGGAGCAAAGGACTGAACAAGGGCAGACAAATGTTATATAATTTAAACATGAAGTCCAGGAGAGTCGCTGCTGAACCGAAATGTGTCACTACCTGAATGATCCGTCTAATGTTAAAGGGCACGTGTTACACTGTTTTTTGATCTTCTCACGCTGTTTCCTCGTCACAAACAGACCTGGAGTTGTGTTTTGTTTCAGTCACACTGGAAATATCTTAGCCAGGCCAGCGTCACCTAGTGCCTCTGCTCAATTTCATTTCTCTCCAGCTCTAGGTCAGGAATCAGAAAACACTAGACCAGGAGTCTCCAACCTGCAGCTTGGGAGTTACCAGTAACTCTCCACCCTCTTCGTCGCCCAGGGATTTCTAAATGATACGTATTGTGCTAAATAAGTCAAATTTGATTGATTAAATGCATATTTCCTTTGTAAATGTAAAATTCTGAGGCCTAATTTTGTGAACTGATAAGTGGATAATGGGTTAGCTATTTGAGCTGTTTTTTGTAGAACGAAAATGTCAGAGAGCTACTGGTTTTAGCGGTTGCCAGAAATGTTGTAAATATAAGAGCCATGGTGCGCCACAGATGAGGCACAGTTAAGCCGGGTGTACACTGTGTGATTTTTGACCCTTTTTGAGCAGAGTTTTCACTTGTGCGACTGTTTTGAGGATCGGGCTGAGTTTTGGCTTCATCGTGTGTCGTGCTTCGTGTAGTAAACATGGGGTAAAGAAACAGATTAATACCTCACGACCAGCTCCCGTTCAGCATTCATAGGTCGCAAGAAAATCAAACTTGTTTGAAATCCAGTCGCCTCCTGTGAGGGTTTCACTCTATTGAAGTTGTTCCACGAGCCAGAATCCGCCAGACTGAGCATGTGCGGACACAGAAGCAAAAGCAAGATATGACATTGTGGAGGACGATGGCGCCAGTGAGTGTTTTGGACACAGGACATGGAGGTGCAGCTGATCCAGCAACACAGAACAGAAGTTTGGTGAAAAACTTGATGCTACTTACCTCCAGTTCCCTCTGAAGAACTGACAACCCGTACGGCCCACGTCTGCCCACATCTGCCCACGTTTACCCGCGTCACCCACGTTTACCCACGTCTACCCACGCCTGTGCAGACATTTCTTTGACCATATACGTCGCCTCTCCTTTTTGTTCTTGTCTGCGCAGAGAATGGCACAAGTTGCCAAGGCAGCGCGTCTGTTTTTTGCCTGGATCAGCATTGTGTCTGTGGTTTTCTAATTCTGTGGTTTTCTACTTCGTGGTTTTTTACTTCTGGAACATCAACTCTAGTCGTTATGTGAACGTACAGTGTGCACAGGCAGGACAGAGCATCGGTTTGTTCAGTGTGAGAACATGATTCGTGAACTCTGAACTTTTAAACCCTGCGATTTGGTCGTACAGTTTCATCTGGGGCTGAGTGACACAATAGAAAATGTCGCACAGTGTTCACCCGGCATTAGAGTTATATAAAACATAACCCATTATCCACTTAATTCACAAAATTAGGCCTCAAAATTTAACATTTACAAAGGAAATATGCATTTAATCAATCAAATCTGAATTATTCAATCAATATGTATAATTCAGAAATCCCTGGGTGAGCGACTTGTTAGGGGTTGGAGAGTTTATCGGTCGCTCCCGAGCTCCAGGTTGGAGACTCCTGATCTAGTGTTTTCTGATTCCTGACGTAGTCACTGGAGAGAAATGAAATTGGGCAGAGGCACCAGGTGGCGCCAGACTGACTTAGAAATTTGAAGTGTAAATGAAACAAAACACAACTTCAGGTTTGTTTTTGAGGAGGGAACAACATTAGAAAACCACTTAACGCTTCACAAGAGTCAGTTTTGTGTCATATAGGAGCTTTATTTATTCATAATTATAGCTTAAATTTAGTTTGAATCATTTTGTACCATTTATAGATTTGATGTCTGTTAATTTTTATTATTTATTATTTCACTTTTGCCTCCATTTTACAATTTTGAACATTTTGACGACATGAAAATTTAAAAATAAATGTCTTGTTTCTTCAGGAATAATAATAACAATTTGGAACAGCAGCGACTCTCCTTAAAGCTGCTCTGTGTAACCTTTTAGTTGTCACGTTTTTGTTTCCATGGAGATGCCCGGAATGTCCCACAGTGTGACTTTAAACCGCTCTGCTTCACGTTTATTCAATCACAGGTGCAGGTTTTACGGCTCAAAAACACCTCGAAAAACAGACGTCGTGACTGCGAGCGGGGCCGCCTCTCCGCAGATCCGACCCGGAACTCGGTCCGGTTTGGTCTCCGTGGAGATAGAACGGTTTATTTAATGCCACACTGCGGAGCATTCCAGACAAAGAAACGACAAGAAAAGGGTTCGACGGAGCCTCCACCAGAAAAGAATTTACACAAACGCGGCTTTAAACGTCGTGAACTTTAAACCTCATTTTTATGCATGAATGTCTCTAAATGCACTTCTTCTTCTTCTTCTTCTTCACGCCATAGACTGTGTTTAGATTATTCTTAAATTAAACTTAAATATTTACAGCCCGATTCACACGTTTAAGTTTAACAAAGGCAGCTGTGGGTTTAAAGAGCTCATTTTACGTTGTTTTCTGATCCGTTCTAATGTCGTTTCCTCGTCACAAACAAACCTGGACTTGCGTTTTTGTTTCTGTTTCATTCACAAATGTTTAACGCACAAACCCTGAGTTCTCTGTTCCACCTCGTGATGTCATGTGGCGACTAGATAAAACACCGATAAAACATGAGGTGCCAATATAAAAGCCGATATATTTAGTGATGTAAAAATTCACTGTAAATCTTTTATTGATTGTAAAACTTAGATTTGGTTCGACTGGATTTTAAATTTTGTTAGTTTAGGCGACATTTATTGTTATTCTGCCTCATTACGTCATATTTAAAGACAATAAGTCGACCTAATGTCATTTTTGCATCACATTCTAGCAGCTAGTAAAGAAAATCAAAACTACCACTATCTGCCTTTAGCCGTAAATACGTACACGCTGCAGTAATTAATCATATAAAATGCGTAAATGCCGATCATTCAGACCTCGATTCACAGCTCATTTACATATTAATGCAGGTCCAGTCACATGTGCAGACGCTATAAACACTTTACTCTAGGACAATGTAAGAAAACCGACTGTTTATGTGGAGCTACAGCAGCAAAACGACGAGAAAGAACCAAAAGTAGTTTCAAAACCGACACATTTGCATCAGTCAGCCTCACACAGGCTCCTCTCAGATCACAAGTCTGCACTGATAAGTTTGATGAAAAGAGCAGTGGTTTTGTTTCAATCCTAAACGGCGCTGCTGAAGTTCACTTTTATTTATCTTCAGTGTCATGGATCAGACACAAGAGCATTTAAAGCGACATGACTCTGGTGGTGCGTTCAGGGGCAGTACGGCAACCACTTCATGACATCACAAGGTGGAACAGAGTGTCTTGAGCTTTGGAGATGTAAACAGATGAATAATAAAGATTTACTCAAACACGTGTGAATGAAACAAAACACAAGTCCAGGTCTGTTTCTGAGGAGGGAACAGAGTTAGAACATTAGAATCCGTGTGTCATTCGTTGACTCGTTTTTCAAAATAAAACCAAAAATAAGAAAAAAGAAAAAAAAAAATAAAAATCTTCATTATTTTTATCCAAAACCAAAATGAAAAAATAGATAATGATTCGTTTTTTCAGTTTTTGATTTTGTGTTTAAATGAAAAATGGAAAAAAAAAAAAAAAAATAGTGGACTGAACCAGGACCGGGACTAGACCGAGACTAGACCGGGACCAAAACGGGACTGAGTCTAAGACCAGGAGACTAGGCAAGGACTGACGGTGAAGGACGGTTTAGTCCTGGTTTAGTCCTGTTTTAGTCCTGTTTTAGTCCTAGTTTAGTCCTGTTTTAGTCCTGCTTTAGTCCTGATTCAGTCCTGTTTTAGTCCTGGTTTAGTCCTGCTTTGGTCCTGTTTTAGTCTTGCTTTAGTCCTGGTTTAGTCCTGGTTCAGTCCTGTTTTAGTCCTGTTTTAGTCCTAGTTTAGTCCTGTTTTAGTCCTAGTTTAGTCCTGTTTTAGTCCTGGTTCAGTCCTAGTTTAGTCCTGGTTGTTAGTCCTGTTTAGTCCTAGTTTAGTCCTAGTTTAGTCCTAGTTTAGTCCTGTTTTAGTCCTAGTTTAGTCCTGGTTTAGTCCTAGTTTAGTCCTGGTTTTAGTCCTGTTTAGTCCTAGTTCAGTCCTAGTTTAGTCCTGTTTTAGTCCTAGTTTAGTCCTGGTTTAGTCCTAGTTTAGTCCTGGTTTAGTCCTAGTTTAGTCCTAGTTTAGTCCTGTTTTAGTCCTAGTTTAGTCCTGGTTTAGTCCTAGTTTAGTCCTGGTTTAGTCCTAGTTCAGTCCTGGTTTAGTCCTAGTTTAGTCCTGGTTTAGTCCTAGTTTAGTTCTGGTTTAGTCCTGTTTTAGTCCTAGTTTAGTCCTGTTTTAGTCCTAGTTTAGTCCTGGTTTAGTCCTAGTTCAGTCCTAGTTTAGTCCTGGTTCAGTCCTAGTTTAGTCCTGGTTCAGTCCTAGTTTAGTCCTGTCTTAGTCCTAGTTTAGTCCGTTATCCATTTTTTTCCATTTTTCATTCAAACCCAAAATCAAAAACAAAAAAAACGAATCATTATCTTTTTTTGTTTTGTTTGTTTTTTTCATTTTGGTTTTGGAGACAAATAACAAAGAAAATTGTTGTTTTTTTTGTTTTTTATTTTGAAAAACAAATGATACACGGATTTTTACGGATTCGACTCAAACTTCACACGAGTTTGTTTTATGTGATGTACGACTTTAAACCGAAAGGACCAAACAGACGAAGCTATTTTTGATATTTCAGATTTTTAAAACACAACGTAAAGAAATAAAAATAAAATAAAAAATGTTACTATTTTAAAAAACCCGAAACTGAACTCGAGCCGTAAAGATGACAAAGAAGTTTATGAACACGCAGATATTTTTACATTTTAAACTTTGACGTGATGTTTAAACGGTGAGACGTCTGTTCAGTTTTTCAGATTTCGTCAATGTTTTCTGGGTTTGTGACGCTAACTGGCGGCACTGCTCTGTCTGCTCAGGTCGGACTTTAATCTGAGTTTTATTTTAACACAGTCTGCAGAAAAAAACAAACGGATTTATCTGAACAACAACAACGAGCGAAATTATCAAGAGTAAACATAAAGTAAACATGAGATAA